ATCCCGAGGTGTATCACCGTGAACGTGTGTAGTCCGTTGCCGCAGGCATTCGCGGATGGAATCCTTCCGCGCGACTCCCGGCCTCGAGCTGGATCGCTAAATTTCTGCTTCTGCCTGTTCGGCGAACATCACAAAGAAAATGCCCAGGGAAAGCATTGAATTTATTCGCAAATATACAATGGTACGAGTAGCAGATGTCAGCTCCATGACACCCATTTTCATTAGAATCAGATGATGAAAAAGACGCTTGACGCCATCAAGATGCCTCCAAGTTGAGATCGATACGAGCAAATTCTTCGTAACGGGTAAAATCCTTCTCGCATTCTACATGCATCATAAAAGTTGAAAATGGATGCCAGGAGAAAACGTGGATTCACCCTGTCGCAAAAACCTGCAGTGTGAGGGCCACAGGCAGAACTGAACTAAAAAGGCTTCTCTTTCTAGCACAGAAGGCTATCCCACTTCGTAATGGATTTCATGGGTAAAGTACGGATAGACTTGAAGTACGCGTCCTCGTCGTGAGCCTTCCCGCTCCTCACAAAGCTCTCAACATGAGATCACTCTCGATTCACAATACAGAAATCAAAGAAAGACGTTTAGGGCTGCCACGTGTACGTGGGGGAGAGGGAAATCCAGCGGGAACCGACGGGTCAGGAATCCCTACAGGATCGATGAAACCAGGGTCGGACTGGTGGCCTAGGGGCCCCACATCTCCCACCCCCAAACGGCAGGGGGAGGGGGGAACTGTAACAGATGCACATGCTGGCATCTGTTCCAGTGGTCTAATTCAGTCTCTCCAGATGTGCATTTCATCACATTTTTGAATGTCATGAATAATATATCATAGTCTTGACTAATTCTTTCCTTTTTCAATGTAATATTATCTTTCATTCATGTCTTCTGGGAAAAGAGATGATGACTTCTGTACCGAAAGTATTGCATATTTAGGAAAATTTTCGGCTAAAATTCTAGGAACACTGCGTGGACAGACCCGAATACAAATAATGAAAAATAAACGACGAGGAAGAGATTACTGGATCTGCAACTTCACACTATCACTATGATGCTGCATGGCCATATGGATCTGCATGCTGGATTTTCTAGTGAAGAGTCTGAGGCAGATGGGACATTGAAATGGCTTCTCTTTGCTATGCTGGCGACTGTGGTTTTCCGCATGGCCTTTCTGAACGGTCGAGTACGGACAGACGGGACAGAAGTAAAACTTGGTCCCTGTAATTCGCATCTTCCCGCTCCATACGTAGCTCTGAACATGGGACACAGTCTGGAAACAACAAGGACAGGGAGAAGAAACAGTTATATGACTCTCATCTGGACGGTTTACCATATACTTAAGTGGAGGTGACGAGGTCACAAACGCCTCGAGCATTACAGAGTGGATGCATCCACTAGATATTAGTGAAGTCGCCTTTACGCAGGTAAAGGAAAAGTCATCTGAACATATAGTTTACTTGCAAATCCAAAATTGGTCAAAGGGACAAAACATAACACATCAATCACGATCTCGAGATGAAGTTGCCGATGAAAAATGCAGTCGAACACTAGTTTTGCATCATCAACGTGTCCAGATTACTGGAATGCACACTAGCACAGTGAGCCTTTAAACTGCTCTTTTTGGAAAAGGACTTGAAGCAGATGGGACACTGGAACGGCTTTTCTTTGCTGTGCTTGCGACTGTGATACTCTGCGTGGCTTTTCCGGACAGTCGAGTACGGACAGACGGGGCAGAAGTACAGCTTGGTCCCTGTCATTTGCATCTTTCCACACCATATGAACTTCTGAATGTATGTCACTGTCTGCAAATAAGCAAACCGAAGGAAGGTTGAGATGGCTGCCAGTGTATGTGGGAAGTGAGGGCACCAACGAGAACTGGCAATGTCACTGACCGAGTCACTTCTTCCATGACAAATAATTATTTGCCATGAAATCGGAATAATCTTAAGTGAGATATAATTTAATATATCTCACATGGAATTTATAAGTAGTCATACCTTACGAGCAAGGCCGGATTAAGAAGTTCCGAGGCCCGGGGCAAGTGGATTCTTGACCCCCCTCCCGTTCCTCCCCACCCAAGACATTTTACCTGGTGGTGCAAGTAGCTAAGAGATGAGGCACTGTCAAGCGCAGGTGGTGTAAATTTTGATTTATAACACCTGTTACTTTCCGGCAAATACTTAACATGTACAATTTCCTACAAAGGGGGGGAGGGGGGAAAGTGGGACCTGGGGAAACTGCCCCCTTTGACCCCCCCCTTGATCCGGCGCTGCATGAGAGTTAAAATACTGTCTATCACCTCACCAAAGTGATTTGATCGTACTTTCTCTCTGTTTTGTTTGTTAGGTATCTTGTCGCACTCCATGAAATCCAGAATTCCTAAACTCTGGGTAGATGATAAAATCATACTGGAAAATGAAAACAAATTTCACACCTCTGAAAAACTTCTTCAATAGAGGCACTCAGGAAGAATATTTTGCAATCATGCATAGTCTGCAAATAGGAGAGTATCAAGACATAAGAGCAGAACTGATGGAGAAACTGGCATTAAGAATGTTTGCAACGACAGATGCTTTCTTGAAAACATGGAAAGAATGAGAAGACTCCTGAATCCATCCTGTGACACTATCCCTGCAAGCAATTCCACTGGGGCAGTAAACAAGTACTGCACCCTTTCAGCACAAACTGGTACTTGAAGAAAACTCTTTTGCAGCAGTTGAACTAATGCAAAGAGCTTCATGCCTTAGTGACATTTCCTCCTATTCTTATGAAGGATGAAAAGTGTCCAGGAAGTGGAGGCTATCCAGGAAGAATTCATAAGCTTTTCCATAGAATGCTATTCAATTACTTCAGCCATGCTTCACCACCAGAAGAGCACGTGATCAGGGGCATGAATAGCTTCTTTCTCTTAAACAGAATAGCATCTGAATTCATATAAAAGATTCTCACTGTTAATTGCATTATTTGTGCATTTTTGCACCAAACTTTTCAGTCCTGAAGAATATATCCTTGCACATCTATGCAAAACTTCTCCCTCTTTTGATGATTTCCTCATCAAAAGCAGTTCAATAAATTTAGATTAAAATGCTTCAGTGCTTTCTTATCCACATGGTAGTGAAACAGGTAGAGATTTATATATGTAAGGGTAGAGTGGTTGGAAAATGATGCATCTGATACTATCCCTTTCCCTGGCATGCATGTATCATAACGTCAAGGCTTTTCTTATCATTGCCTGGTGTAGTGTATAAAATTGAAGTAGGTCATGTCAGGAAATGAGTTAAATTGCACATTCACATAGCTCTAAGGTCAATTAGGGGCAAGTTAGCCTTTCCATGGCATTTTATACAATACACCAAGAAATTATCTGGAAAGTCTTGATTTTATAATAGATCTGTACCAGGGAAAGGGTTATAATATATACAGTCAAGTCCACATGTTTCATAATAAATAAAAGGTGTCTGGAGAGGAATGGCTAAATTGCTGCAATTTCTGATGTCAATCAAATCAATCACAGATAATGTCACCACCAACATGGTATCAGAACACCAGCCTGCTCATAAAGTAGGTGTATACAAATGAAGATGAAAATGAGGCAGAGATCAAGGAATTTAGTATTAGCATTGGATATAACTTTAAAAAAAATGAGACAGCAAGATCCCTTTTGGGAGATGGATTAGAGGAGGACAGAACACAGGAATTGCTTCTCTTTGCCAATTTCATGGAATGGTTTTCTGGCATGGAGTTTTCCAAGTGGCCTTTGTGTGTAGTGGAGTATAGAGACAAAACAAAAGTGTAACTTCATTCCTTGAATCTTCCCAAAACTGTGAATATCCCTTAATATAAGACAGCCTAAAAGCAACAGGAAAGAAGAGAGAGAAAAAATTCATTTGCCTGCCATGAGGCTGTTTATAATGAACAACTATGCAATGGAAAGAAAGGGAAAAAGAAAGCCTCAAATGAATTTGGTGATATGAGAGTGCATCAAGTGATATAAAATTGGAGCTACATTTGACACTTGACACATATACAAAAGATTCACGGTATTGAAAGTCTTAATAGTATGAATACCAGTAGACTATTCATGTTCAAGTCATTTAAATAAACTGAACTAAACCAACACAAACTCGATGCTGCATACAGTGAATGGACTCTGTTGCTGCATCTACAATATCTCATGATCCCTACTGTACTACAGTACATACAGGTATAATGAATTCACAAATTTGACTGTAAAGAAAAAGGACTTCAAGCTGAAGGGACAATGACACAACTTGTCTTTGCCATATATCTGGCTGGGGTATTCTGCTAAGTCCTTTTTTTCCAAAGAATTATGAACATGGGAGAAAAACACATTACTTGGTCCTTGGGTTATGAGTATACTTGCAATATGCAACCAATCACTTGAGGGAGATTATTGTGTCCTTAGAATGATCGAATCATTGTAGTATTAACCAGATGGAAAGGAAAGCTGGAGATGGATCCTATTTGCATATATATAAAAAACGTCTTCCAGATTTTTGTGCACAAATAAAAAGAGCCTGGCAGATACAAATTCTGTTGGCATTTCTTAAGTCATAGAACAAAATGTACACACTTAATGCCACAATTTCAAAAAGAATTATGGAATATGAAGTAGTTGATGAGAATGGTTTTTCAATAAACCTAATCTGCAATGTCTTAAAGTTGCTATCATGCACAATGGCATGGTTTTATTTCCATTGTGGAAGTTGTAACTGATGAAATGCAATGTGACAATGGGTAAGGAAATACGTAATTGCAGTACTGATACTGTCACATGTTTCAGAATAATATGCCATGTGAAAAGAGGAAACATTGGATACTCAATTATAAAAAAAAGTCTTGGCATTGAACTGCAGATATTTATTGTGTTCTACACAATGGGACTCTGAGAACAATGGATGTTCACAATTTATTAATAGCCTAACAAATATTCACATCTACAGTCAAGCTAAAGAAAAGGGTTTGGTAAGGGAGAATATATCACTGGATCTGCAACCCCTCAAAATCACTGGAATGCTGCATGGCACAGTGAGTTCTTACACACGACCTCTGGGAGAAGAATTTGAAGCAGACGGGACATTGAAATGGCTTCTCTTTGCTGTGTTTGCGACTGTGGTAGTCTGCATGACCTTTGTTTATGGTCGAGTACGGGCAGACGGGACAGAAGTATAACTTCGTCCCCGACACTCGCATCTTTCCGCTCCAAACGTAGCTCTGAACATAGGACACTGTCTGCAAACAGCACAGAAATTGAGGAATGATTTATATGGGAGTCAAATGGGCATGGGTTCTCATCGTCAAACACCAGGCTACAGTAATTTTCTTCTTTTTCTCGAACAATCACAATCCCATACCCATATACTCCGTGTCACACTTCCATTTTTAATCCTTTTACCGCTACTATTGAGTTAACTCTATTAACACAGTTTCTCACCCCTTGCAGCAGATACACCAGAGATTTTTCTGGGTCATCAGGAACCAGTCCAGCCCTTCACTTACACAATCTCTGAAGATTTCCAGTTCTCCTGACAATTTTTCATTAATTAGGGGACACTTGAAACTAGCTGAAACATAAGCTTCACGCATAATCCTTGAGAGCATTCCTAGCAACTAACATCACCCTGTTTCTATCACCATTTTTAATATAAAACATGGGGGAAAAAAAACTAAAAACTTCCTATTTAGACAATATCTTATATGAAAGCAGCTCTTTTAAATATCGTATTTACTCGTGTATAATGTGCTTTTTTTAAAATGCATATTTAATTGTGTCCGATGCGGGGGTGCATTTTATATTCGGGGAAAAAAATTACCTTTTTCAAAAGTTTTTTTTTGTTAGCGTACCTATAACTCATTGGTCACTTATTGAGGCGGAAACAGTGTCTGTAGTCAGTCAGAACATGTGAAATATAATATTATAATAATACTGTAAACAGGGAATGGCTACGTCAACTCGCAGACTCCATTTGGTATCGGAATCAGAAATGGTCTGGCAGCGTGGAAAATTGATTCGCGGAGCTCTCATCCTCCTCCGAAGGGCCGTTCCTAAGACAATAATTTCTTATGGACATTTTTGAGCTACTGAGGTTTTCCGACAAAGAAAATCCAACTCGCTTCATGAATCGCGCCGTTCATCCTTATGATGTATTGAATTTTCGATGGGAGATCCTGTTTGCTCTTGCAATTGTACAGGTTCGCGTCTCGCTCACCCTAGTTTTACACATAGACGACCATCCTTTCGAGAATAAAACCCGACAAACAGTGCCAGAATGAAGCGAAAAGTTTAAACGGTATGCTTCGAGAATTTTTTTTTTTTTTACGGACTTACGGACTTACTCTTCTACGTATTCGGCCATTTCCTTCGTGATTACCTGAAATTATCCCATTTTCTCCACTAAAGGTCATGAGATTCTGTCGTGCCCAGCTCAATTTCGCCTTCACCTAGATCCGCTTTCGTATACAGTTTCCTCGATGTTATACTTACGACCCATCGCAGGGACGCCCCACTCCTTCGCTTCCTGAATAACTTTGATTTCTCTGCTGCTGAGTAACTTCGTCGTACATTTCCATCCATTTTCACGAATAATGAAACAAATGATACTGTGCCCCCTCTCAATAAAGGTCAGGACAATTAATAAGAAACTAGGTTCGACCGACCTCACGACCTTACTCATCTCCCTTGTCTGACACTTTTTGCTTCGAAATGGGGGGTGCGCCTTATACACGGTGGCGCACTATACTCGAGAAAATACGATAATATTCTCCATTATCAGATATTACTATGGTATCACCATGGATACTTGACTCAAAATCATGTCCAAAGAGTACACGAGAATAGTTTAGTAGCTTCTCAGCCGTCATTATGAGAGATCTAACATTAAGATCAACATCTAAGGAAGTGGTTCTCAAACTATGGGTCATTGGATAAGGGGGGTCGTGAGATGTTGGGAGCGTCAGGGAACGAAGGGAAAAGTTCTCCGTGGCTCCTTCCTGGGTGTGAAAAAGAGGAGGTTGTGAAAATCCTGAGATTATTCCTAAGGGGTGCATGTTTACAAAGTTTGAGAACCACTGATCTAAGGTTTGAGATTTAGCTCCTCCCAAGCAACACATAGATCTACACGAGGTCTATGTGATGTTACAGCAGTGTCATTTGGCTGAAGTCATGTGGTAACAACGCGGCATGGGTGTTGTGTTGCTTGGGCTCCTTCCATCTCAGGGAATAAATTGGATTTACATTATAAAAAGAATCTTTTGGATGATCACTACATAAATACCTTTCAGGAGCCACCTTTTCCACATAATTACCCTATACCATTTCAAACCTCACACATCCCTTTCATTACTCTAATGGTTTCTTAATTCCAGCTTCTGGACATACTTCAGGAGTAACCTTCACCTTACAGCTTACAGCTGAGGACAGTTTTTGATCTGTATCTATTTTCCATGCAATACTCCTTTCTGGGAAAAATAACAATCCAATGGGCATTGTTTCAAGTGTAAAGTGGGTGGAGTGAGGATTCTCAGCCATGGTCAAGGACTGTCCAGGTGGATATATGGATGGGATGAAGGTGAGAGTCTTGTAGTGGCATTACACATTCAGACATGATGCCATCCCTGCTTTTCAATATGGTTCACTTGATCTCATTCTTTGGCTAAGGTTACTAAAGTAGCACCTTGTTGAAAAATTCATACCATTGTTTTTCAGAAAATACAATTTGTTTAGAATATCATAAATTAAATATCATCTACACAGGTGAACAATGAGTCTTAGAAGTACAACAGGAAAGTGGTTGAAGACTATCTCATTTTCCCTCCTAAAGCATTAACCAAACCATTCACTTGTCTTGGATTTTCTAGTCCTTCCTATGAAAGCACATTGTATCCTGTCTTTCAAGAGGCATGTTCTAGTAGTTTGGCAGGGAATTGGGAAGTCTTAGAAAGCCTTCATAAAGCAAATACGATTTTCAAAGATCAACCCCTTCAATGGGGAGTGCAAATATATCCATATGGTTGAGTGGGCTATAACCTGTGGTCATTCTGTCATCTGTTGGATGGTTAGTTGAACTTGGACAAGACAAATTATATAATTTATTCATAATTACAGGACACACTGTGCCAAGCTCTCAGATGATCTAGATCAGCTGCTCACTGTGCTGTGTTGACTGGATCAAGTTTATCTTGTTTCACAAGATTCTAGGGATTTTTTTTGTGAAAATCACATGTAATACTAAATATAAATGTCAGGAAGAGTTGTATGCTCACAATTTTTGTGAAAATTTAAAAAGAATAGAAAAGTTCAAAGGAGTTCCCAATATGTAATTTTACAAAAAATCCTCCCAATGTGGAAAAGATAGGGGTTAGAGCATTCCTTACTAAAGGGAATAAGATAGCTGTGCAATATGTGGTATCCTCTGTATTCAAATTCATGAGAAACATGACAAGGCAACTTGTGGAATCAACTGTCAAAAGCCACCAAGATACCAAACAAAATGGCTTCTAAATGCAGCATAGTTACTTGTGCTTTCCTATAAATGCAATGAGTACATGTGTTTTCTCATCATAGGGCTCTCAACAGAATATGCTTGACAATCTAATTTGTGAATGTTGTTTTGAGGAATATTTAAAAGTAAAAAAGCATAATGTCTCACTTTGAGTCGAAGCAAGAAATGGGTGTGGCAGATGCATTGTTGTCTATTTAAAAGTACAGGATGTCAAAAAACCTCAGATCATCTGTAATGTCCTAAAGATTGATTAAAGCCGATTGCACAACATTAAAGCTAATTTCATTCTGCATCTTACTTATTCTTTTTTAATTTTTATTTTATTTTATTAATCTGTCCTCCCGCAGAAGGCCAGGCACGCCCTAAGCGTAATTAGCTTTTCAATGGTTCCGTCTTACTTATTCCTAGTAAATACTGGCTATTCAGAATGGCTTGTTCAAACACCAGCACTTCTAAGACAATAGAATACAAGCAAATTTCATCCATGACACATCAAGGAAGATTAGAGAATTAGTAAAATTCCAGGCAAACTGCAGAGTATTGCCATATTTATTAGCTTCACTTCCTGCTGCTTGATGTGAATGATCAAGAAAGTTTGGCAAAGTCTGAAGGGGGCTAACATGAGATACACTGTTTTCATGAAACTTACTCCCTTCTAGGCTCCCTTCTTGAGGGACCCAGCAAATATCCTTGGACCCTCTGAAGATACACATCTTCATATATGGCCCAGTTTCTTTGTACTTGCCACACAGTAATTCCTGCAAGACTATGGTGTGTAATCGTGTGTGTAAGACCAAGTGAAGAGAAAATGTTAGGGAAAACTCATTAACACATCTTTGTTCCTCAGTAAACTTTCCAAGGACTGACCATTGTTCCAGATGCCTCTTTCATACTCATCTAGACTTAAAGCTGCTATTCAAGTAGTAGGTAGTTACACACATTAAAGAAACCTAAGGTTTTGAAGTAGAATTAAATGAAGAATAAAAAAATTTTATGTATCCATCGAGGGGAGGTCTAAGGTTTTTTGACATCCTGCACAAATTAATAAAACTTTCTTCATTTTGAGGAGAAGTCCACTCATGCAGACAAATGTGAAACTAGTGGAGAGGGTAGATGTATCTGAAACATGCATTAATACAAATAACTATAAGCTAAATGAAACTTTAATTACTTAATAACTATAAAGAATTAAAAATAAGATCAGCTCAGATAATGTAATATGCTCCATCATGGACCATCAACAATACCAGAGGTGACGCAAAATTAAGTAGCATCAGTAGGGGCTAATATAGAGCACATGCTCCATGGACAATCATGTAGCTTCACATATCAATCCCACACAGGAAAAACTAAGCATTGGTTTTGGATCACACAATACTGCAATCCAAATAACATTAGCTGCTATGACACTGACCTGTGGGTCAACATCTGGAGGAATATTCATTGGCGTTTCAGGTTCACCTTCCATTCCTTCAGCAACATATGAGGTACTTTCATCCCATTCTCCCTCTTCCTATAAAAAAAAAAAGGGTAACTCACATTAGCAATAAGAACAGTGCCAAAAATACAGATGCTCTACTGGATTACCAAAAAAAAAAAACCCTGATGATTCTATAACTGACACAGAGATCCAAGACTTACAGTGGCAACTGAAGTTGAGTCAATCACATCATGTGCATCACTGGTTTCATCCTCTCCTTCCTCCTTTATCAACACCTCATCTGTTGATGTGCTTGTACTTGCTTCTGGTTCACTTTGGAAGAACTGGGTAGGAGAGAGTACCTATAACACAACCACAATACCAGAAGCTTTTCAACTTCAACTGCCAGTATATCCTCAATTATATGTGTCACAGCACCCTACACATACAGGCTTTGGCTGCTGGAAGCGTGATGCAATTGACTGCTGCTTGCCCCGTGGCAAAAGAGATAAAGATCTTGCCATTTTTGCAGGTGGAAACTGGGGTTCATCAAACTCTTGCCAAGCTGAAAAAGTACTCTTCCTCTTGTGAGCCAAAGCATCTTGTACATCAGACACAGGGATGGAAGTGGGTCTACCTCCTGCTCCACTACTCTTAGACTTATCTCCCTTCAGCCCCTTCACTTCTAAGTTCTCTGCAACTTCAATAAATTTCTCAAGGTCCATGGCCGGGACTTCCACTTCCCCACAGTACATGAATTCCACAAGGAGCTTCAGCAGATGCATTTCCACTCCATAAAAATGAATGGTTGGAGTTCCCGATCCATCCTTGTTGAGGATTCGTTCAAAATAACCACTCCCAGCACACAACACGAGTTTGTGAGCTTTTGCTAGCTGTCCATTGCAGGACAGAATCACATCCACAAACATCTCACGGTGACGGAGATTTTCAAAGCTCTGAAACGTTTCTGCATGGTGAGAGTTCCACTTCAAATTGTATTTGTTTGACATGGCTTGTGCTTCAACTTCTCACAGAAGAAAACCTGCATGTATATTGCATTTGTAAATTCCAGTAGACGTCCAAGCAGATTTAAGGTTTCACTGACACCACTAATTTTTAGGGCAAATTGTGTAAACAGGTCTAGGATAGTTTTCACTTTATTAGCAGAAAGTTTAGAAGAGTAACACAAATCCACAGATATTAGGGCAAGAGGGAGGGAACTTAGGCCTAAGACTAAATTAGCGCTGAACATGTGTAGCTTTCCAGGAAGCTACCACTTTCCATCTCTCTCATACACTCCGTCATATAGAGCCTATATTTGCATCACCTCAGGATCATCTCCAGGTGTTAATGCCTAAGCACATCAACTACAAAATGGAAGTGGGATGTATCTGAGGCCTACAGTGACATCCAAATGAATGCGCACCACCTTTGGCAAGAGCTCCGTAGGCCTGTCATTTTGATGAGTGGAGTCAGACTTTCACATCCTTGGCTGGACCAAAGACACCATCATCGCACAAAGTGAAAGGTGGCGTGAAATCAACTGCATATTACTCCATCAGGATCTCATGACCACCGCTCTGTATATATGGATAGTCAAAGAAGATAGTGCTAGTAGGCTGTGTACTGCTCCACGCTGCACTCAGTTAAAGCCATACTGGTAGCAAGGCCATGCTGCGTCTTTTAGTACTATGATTTGAAAATGGTTTTTTGCCCTCATTAGGCATGCACATGTACTCAAATGAAAGGAATAAATAATCTGATGGAAAAAATTTCACATTCACCCTCTGCTTAAACAGCAAATTTTCCTAACTGAAATAGGCACTTATATATTTTTAATTCTCGAAAGAGAATGAACCAAGATGAGGCATTGTATATTTACGAGGGAACATCCCAAGTAGCACATAGGTCGTGGACCACTAGTTACATAAGAGAACTGGTGGCCTACCACCTCTGTTAGTTTGCGAACCATCACCTGCACGTCCTACTTGCCACCGTCGGCCAGTTACCTTTCGGGCCGCAAGCGGGCTAACACATTCCCTGCTCGCACGCAGGTGGCGGATCACCAGCTGGGAGAAGGCTGGTGCCCCTTTGCTTGTACAGTTCTAAATCAAGCTAAATAGACACAACTGGGACGCTGTGCATTGCGCTAACATTTCATCAGTTTAATCAGCATGGAGTACTAATGCAGCTATTAGAACCAATCACGAAACGAGAAGACCAAGTAGAGGATGACTCGTCGATCAAGATATGGAAATTTCGCCATTTCCATACTTAACCTCAACATCCAATATTTTCCTGAATCAGTCATTGTGATCAGAACAACATAATTCCACATTTTCCTAATATCTGTTCGTATAATGCACAACAAAATGAGAAAAGAGAGAAGGAAACACTGGCTAAACCAGGAAGACAGGTCCTTAACCCTTCAAGTGATGAGTTTTGACCTGACCTCCTAAGTGATGAACGTACGGTGTACGTGAAAACAGCTAGAAGGGTTAATTGCATTTGAAGGCTGCAAGGAACATGGGTACCATCTAGTGGGCGCTCTTGGTACTGCATTTTGATCACGTCATATAACACGCTTTCGGGGGAGTGAGAGCTACATCATGGAAAAAGAGCCGGTGCTGCACAACCTGCACTAGATAACGGGCCATCTACTGCATGTTCCATTTGCCGCCGCTGGCCCACCATGTTACCAACACATCCATCAGGAATGATATTGTTGAGGCCCGCTGACTGATCCAGTATTCCAACCGCCACACTACCGCTTCTGCCAGGATGGCGTCTAGAAAACTTTCGGTTCACTACCTTAGTGCAACTTAGAGGGGTACCTCGGGTATAAATATTGAAATGTCACCCGTGTAGTGGAGGACCCGGGGGGGAGGGGAACCGTCTCTCCTATGTCCAGCCCAAGTTGGCAATATACAGTATTTCATCCTTAAAAATTATTATATTTCTTTTAGTTAGGGGCTGTGAAATGAATCTCCAGGTTGTACTGCTGATGAATGATGAAAACAGCAGCAGGGAAGGAGGTGGTGGAGGGGTGGGAAAGGAGCTAAAGAAACCACACTTCCTCTCCCCAATAATAATTTCTCTATCTGTCACGACAGCAGGTTAGAGTCACAATTTATTCTATAAATAAAAATAAAAATAAATTCGCGGAACCTTTTACTCCCCTCCCCAGTACATAGACTCCCATCGACCAGAAGAACTTATTCCATTGATAATTTAACTTATTGATTGGAGTTATTTATTTCCAGGATTCATCACATGTGGAATCAATTCGCATAGAATGGTGGGAATGCTGGAGGGAATACAGTCTCGACAATTCCTTAACACCACCCAAATTCTTAGTATGCCAGAGTATCCAAGAAAGACACAACGTGAATCTTGAATTCGATTCCAAATAGAATCTTTAGAATCTTGTGTAACTGGTGAAAAAATAGCGAGAGTTCCTCGTGGGGCCTCCCTCATCCCTCGGCATGACATCACTTCACTGAATGGACGAGAGAATGACTCCGGAGGTGGTCGCTCCTCGTGAAGGACTTGAGGCACACGGAACACCGGAAAGGTCTCTCTTTGGTGTGCTTGCGACTGTGGTTCAGTGCATTGGTGGTCTTCGGCGAGGCGAACGGACAGATGGGACAGAAATAGAGTTTTCGGCCGCGGGTCATCCTCCCGCACCACACGAAACTCCGGACGTGAGAGACGGTCTGAAACAACGGCAACTCCGATTAATCAAGTTTTAAAATTTGCCATCTTCGCACCGAGCGAAACCATGCGAATATAGAAACTCATAACTGCCTGCAAATAAATTAAACACTGAAAGAAGAGTCGACTGCTTGCCAAACGAAAGAGGAAATAGTTCCCGACGAAAACAAAGGTAACGGTTGGAAACAATTCCATGAGGGACACGTTTTTCCGTCATGAATTTTGAGTTTTGCACTGAACTACTGTAAATACCTGTAGTACGAAATTTCATAGATCCTCGAATGGGATGTCACATCATGTGACTAACTCATTGCTTCCCAATGTTACAATAGAGGAACAAGGAAGTAAATTTGTCTTTAATTCGTGTTTAGGATTTCCAGTGGATGTTTTTTTACTTTCTGTAGAAGTAGCCCAGGAGCGGTTCATATTACAATTTTAGGCATTACAACCATGAGCAAGGTTATTGACTGAGAGATTTGAATTTTCGAATTTGGAAGAAAATATTGGGGATAAAACGGTTAATTGCATTTCAGCCATACATCGTCCAACTCGAGGATACCCATTCCTCACTCTGTTCTGTTTTCCAGCAGTTCAAGGCAGGTTCAACATGAACCTGCCATGTTTCCAAGGATAATTTAGCAAGGCAAGGCAGGTTAACCGAGATACAAGAGTCACAAATTCTGAATGCTGCTTGGGAAATCCAGAATAGGGATTCTGAATGCACATTCATGAGAGAGATTTGAAATAATTAAGCAATGATATAACAGCTATAAATATGGCAAAGGTTCCTGATTCAGAAAAATTAAAGTCTCAAAAACCTTTGTGACCGATCAAGAGATGTACCTGCCACGAATACAATGAAGTCAGGTTCAGAAAACATTGGGGAAGTGATCTTCAAAAAATCAATGCAATTTTTGCCACTCCCATAATGTCCTTGAATCCCAATATAACGAAACTCATACTTCATACACGTGATTCCTCTACTCCATAGGTATAACCCATTAGGGGTCGATTAGTGCCACACGGTGATGCAAGCATTCTTATGTACCTTTCCCTTCAGTCATCCAAGACTTAGGCTGTGAGGAGTGTTTAAAGCGTGGACTTGGGGGGGGGGGGGGCTCGCGATGGAGGCACTCGCGAATGCGCTAATGATCTAAAAGTATCCTGCCAATGCAAGCAATAGACATTACGAAAGTAAATGTCTTCAAATTAAATTTTTAGTCGCATATCTCGCTTCCGAATTTATCGATTTTAATGCTCTTCAGCAAATGAGAGCTCAATCTTTCTTCTTTATGGCTGCAGAAGGAATTCTGTAAAAGTTTGATTTTATCAAAAAGAAACAAATCAAGCAGCGATACCCTTAGCTGAGACATCCAGCAAAAAAACTTACTTGACAGATAAATGCATTTATTGTATTAACCCATTCCTGCCAGATTTTTTATTTTTCGTTCCATTGTTTCCGTCGCTAAGGCTTGAACTATTACTTATAAAAAAAAGAATCACTGCTAGAGTGCAACTCAGTATAGTAAATGCCAAAAAAAGGTGAAACGTGAATACGGTATGAAAAATTGGCGGCAACTATTTCATTTCTACAGTTTCCTTTCCATTAGGGACAGGAAATTTGATGGGGATGGCACAGAAATGACACCAACTCATTTACCCCATAAATCCATATACTGGTGGTACTTGCAATCTCCCAGATGTATGGTGTTTAAAAAAGTAAGGAAAACCTCCATCCCTTTTCTAGGGGATATTTCTATCATGTGGGTTCTGCTATTGGAGTTACATCATTAGAGGAAGATGCAACATTTTATCATCATTTACCCCTTCTCCTCATACCATACAAAAATCACTATGGACAGCAATGAATCTCATTGTTTGCAGCCCATCCGACGTCACCTCTGTCATTCACATCATTGCAAACGTGTTTCGTGTCACGAGACATAAGTATATTTTCTTAGTACCACTTCCTGTAATGGAGTTTTGCATAACATTAGTGGTCTTTCTTCTTTGGTTCAGCATGGGACATAAATCATTCATTTACCATAGGAAATTCTGCAACTGCCAGAGGATCATTTTGGCATTGTGTACCATTACTTCAAAGGTTTCAATTCAAAACAGAAATATCTAATCAGACTTCCTTCAAGATTCTAATTTCAACTGAATCAGATGAGTCCAACTGAAATATGAATCAGAACATCTGAATACATCATTCCTTAGAAATGACAAAATTTAATAAATAAATCAGTTTACAGTCATTTCAATTCAAATTATTAGGGATAATTAGAATAATCAGGATCAATCTTTGGAACAATAAACCTAAATCAAATTGAGTCTTTCTCATTTCTATCTAAGCAGAACCTTTTTACTTTAAAATCGAAATATGTTTATCTTTCTTATAATTCCTCTGCAATAACTGGAAAAGAAATTAATCATGAAGTAATATGCTCCTATATGCTATACTGCTGGAAGACCAGAAGGTTGAGCAGATACATTCGAGGGAAGAGGATGGGACATGTGCATACAACAACAGTTCAGATGCAATATGAGCTCCATGATGTTCAATACAAGTTTTGTCTAGCATCCAAAGGGAAGAATGATAAGCCACTAGATTTGAAGCTTTGCACCCAAGTATCAGAATCTCATGTCAAGATCATATCATTCACATCAGGGTCAATCCAACCCTTATTCTTTGGAGATGAATCTGGAATCTAAATGCAAATTTCCCATTTCATCAATCACTCACAGCTCAAATCAAACTGTGAGTCCAATTGGATCTTCTCTGTTTTATTCTCAAGAAGTACTAATTTTAATAAATTAGGCAGCAGCCAGAATAAAGCTTGGTCTGATATTTCTCCCATAGAAAAGAGTTTCATATATTCCTGAAAGAAAATGAGTGGAATGTTCATTTTAAAACACCCAATGAACATATTATTTATTATCTCAATCAAAGCTAATGAAACCATACATAAAATACCTAGCTGTGTGAGAAAGACTCTTTCCCAGCATCTCTACTGCCTACTACAATGGTATAGCAAATCTTTAGATTTTACTTTTGGGAGAACTCTCAAGCAGTGGGAAACGTTTTTCTTTGCTGTTAGTAACTGTGATAATCTGAAAGGTCTTTGCATATGGACAAAGTACAACTTAGTTCTTGCCACTTGTATCATCCCACCTTATCCACAGCTCTGATAGGGCACTGCCAGCAAAGAATATGGAAATGGAAGGATTACTAATGTGGCAGTAGTGTGTCTCCATGATGAATGACAAGAATAGGAGTCTAAACAACATGAATACATATCAGGTGTGTCCAGTCAAATTGAGAAAAATTAATAAAAAAATCAAACATGCCCATTTCTTGCAGCTTGGAACTTTTTCAGCATAACTGTCCCACACATGTACAACACAACATAGGCACAAACATTTCAAACTCAATTCCAACAAGAGAAATTAATGTGGATGCACAGCACAGTTGAAATGCTCTCACTTCATCTGTAACTTATCAAGATCATTGTAATGCTGCACACCACAATGAGTTTTCAAGTCCCACTTTCGGGAGAAGGACTTGAAGCAGATGGGACACTGATAGGGCTTTTCCTTGCTGTGCTTGTGACTGTGGTATTCAGCATGGCCTTTGTTTCCAGTGGAGTATGGACAAACAGGACAGAAATACAGCTTGGTTCCTGTCCTCTGCACCTTCCCACACCATACAAAGCTCTGAACGTAGAACACTGTCTGGAAATAATGTGGAAAAAGAGGCAACATGAATTGGGCCACTGCGAGAATCCTTAGCATGAAATGGCTGTTGAATGGTTTCAGGAAGGCAATGTGTCGATTAAAAATTTCACAATTTCAATTTCAGCAAAAAAATATTTATTTTTCATGAATAAAAGACAATGTTTGAGAGGAAAGATAATCACTGGACACTGACCCCTAACCTCAATCAGTGATGTTCACAGTACTTTTACATGCCAAATTTCTTGGCAGAACCATTTCATACAGTCTTATACTCTATATTACCATATATGTCTGTACATTATAATGTAAAATGGACTACATATGTGACATATTATTATTATGCATGCCCATTTTTCATGAAATCATATATTATTTTTCCATTTGAGGTGAGGGGATACCTGAAAGCAGAATCATCATGTATGAAAGCACACAGGAAGAAGCAATGCCAACACTATCTATATCATTTCTGGAAGAGTGAACAACTTCTAAATGCTAGTCAAACTGTTCTAATGCAAGACATCAAGATACTAGGACTAGTCTTTCCTCAAGTACTAGGAGTTTTTTCAAAGACAAATGAAGTAAGAACCGAAGCTTAGTTTCTGGTTCTAAAATAAACATGAAATTTGTCTCTCTTCTCCTTTGAAGTTTAAAAACTAAGAACTCTTCATAAGAGAGAAGATGACTGAATCGAAATGCAGGTCCCTGTCAATAGAAATTATCCACAAGGAAACTCTTCAAGGTCAAGAGAGATAAGGTTCTTTCAATGACAACCAAAAACCATTAAGAACTATCACATTCTTTGCTTTGGAAGGACCATTATCAAAATCCAGCCAAGGGAGCTTCAGGAGGCATGTGACCACTCCACCTTTAGTAATGCACATTCAAGTGGCAGGTGCTTGTGATTTAAAGATTCAAGTAATTTAATGCAGATCTCATCCAAGTGCACATTTACATGGAACCTGCTAGGTTTCAGTCATTCATTTCCCACAGATGAAGCACTGGTATGGCTTTTCCTTAGTGTGCTTCAGCTGTGCTAAGCAGTTTGCTTTCTCTTAAGTGTCAACAGTAGATTATGATATACAGTAAAACCTCTGATAGCTTATACTGCCATAGCTTATAACCTCCAGTACCTTATAGCAGGGTTTCGCCCCAAGCATATAAGCTAAGGCAGGTTTTACTGTATAGAGCATGAAGCTTGTATCTTTTGACTCAAGTTTTTCTTCTTCCTAAACCATATACCTTTGAATGTACTTCACCATCTAGGATCAAATAAATTGCATGTTCTCTCAAGTTCAAAAACTGGTTTATTACAGATTTTTTGCACAACTCATACCAATTGTGAGGCTTTGTGCTCATATTCATAACATGCCATGAATGAAGACTTTGCACTGTGATAACAGACCAAGAGTCACTAGGAAATAACTGCAGGGAAAAGGAGTCATCACTCAGAACTTGTATTCATGTAAGGTTTTCATGACCCACACAAGATTTCCTAATACATCTTCATTTTACTTGAGATTCTTCTTCCAAAGAGGATCAACAGTTATTCAAATTAAAATTTCAGTGCTTGTAAGAGGTGGATATAGAGAGAAGAGGTGGCAATTTATGTATCTTTAATAAGAAAGGTCTCAACACTAATAATCTGACAGAAGTAAGGCACCACTTTTCTTTGCACCCCACAACAAAAACAATACCAAACAAATACCAACACAAATATGGAATATTTCTTAGTGGGCTATTATATTCATTAATCATGACTATATCTAAGAGTTCAACAGAGCTGTTTGATTCAAACCATAGCATACAAATGCCATTAAAGCATAGATTCCTTAGTGAATTCCTTTTGAAGGCAAGCAGAGACAAGTGATATGGATTTCAGCCACAAATCAATGGAGTCAATCAGTGTTTAAATTGGCAAAAAAGCAGCATGAGGGCTTGATCATAGATTATGTTGGTGGCTTTTATTTTTGTAAGGTTGAGAAAATTTGAAAATATTTGTTCTTTTATGATCTATGCTTAACTGGACTTAATTTGATATTTCTTTCCACCTTAAGTATGGTTACTTGCCAATCAGAGATTTAAACTCACTCAATTAATCCAGCTTTGATTGACCTTGTTTCCCCTCAATCTGATAGAAAAAACTCTAACCGCTGAATGTCGCACAAAGAAAGCCCCATGGATGCCATCACTTCAGAAGATATTAATCAACATATCTTCACTTAGTTCCATGATATCTATTAAGCCACTGGATATTAAATTCATCACCTAGTCAAGGTAAGAATCGTTTATTGAAACATCTGGATAATCATTTTGACAATATTATTTTCCCCTCATGATTCACCTTGACCAGTAGTGAATTGTCAGTAATTTCATCATGTTTCTACTGAAACTGCTTGGATCTTGTCAACCCAGCTAAACAATTTCATCTCTGGAACCCAGAAAATCCTCCAAGAACAGAGAAGTGGGAAGAAGTTAAACACCACAACATTAATTTTCTGATACATTTCCCAGGCTGTTCTGTACATGGAGTCCACCATTGTGGAATGCATAGTACGTCTCATGTTTTGTGCATGCCTCATTGTGCTTTGGCCAACCAACAGATGGAAGCTACATCCACCTATTTCAGCTATTCCTATAATATAGGGTCAAATTTCAGATTCACAAATCCCATATCTGCTCTGGACAATTACCTCATCTGAATTTCCCAAGGTTTTTGATTTCAAAGTCTAATAGCATTCCAGTCCCCAAGGTGATTTTCATTGGGCTTGCATTGTTGCAGTTGGATTCCTTCTTTCAGATACAAAATAATATGCAATCAAATGGATGGAGTGAACTAGATGCTAATGTAGAGCTAAAGACTAGAACACAATAAATTTCATCTAAGAGGGGAGGTGAAAAATTAGTGAGATTATGCAGACATTTCCTTATTCTCAATGTAGTCTCCCTGCCTCAATACTCATTTTCCCCATCTGTGAATCCATTTGTTGAAAGAAAGACAACAAAAGAAAGAAAGAAAGACAATAAATGCACAAGTCTCACAACTTTTGCACCTCCCCTCATACATTAACAAAACTTAACTGAATAGGAGTTAATAGATTGCCTCTTCTCCTGACTCATCACAAAAGAAAAAAAGAACACAGAAAGACAATGTCACAAGCAGTTCTATACAGTACTCAGCTATTCAACAATCAAGACAACATTGCTACATTTCCCCATTACCTCAAAAACTTGGCTATCTTGTATCCACACTCAGGAATGGTGATGCCAACTTCAACTTCACTCAGGCTCTACAGGGTTTGGTACTCTTGCACTCCCATGATCCCACCTCTTACATGCAAAACTAGAAACGCTACCAGCCTGAGATTCATATCACTTGAAAAACTTCTTTATAACAGAGCTTACCCAGACTTTTTCTGATGATGAAGTTAGAACCATGACACAAAGCATTAACATTTCAAATCCAACATTTTCCCTCTCTTCATACTCCTCTGCTAAGTCCAATTTTTGGTGTACATTCTCTCCCTTTATTGGGTAAGAGTATATTAGGTATATTTCTCTTAGAGAAATTCTTGGAATTGTTCCTGTTAAACTGGAAAATCACAGATTCAATTACCGAAGTTTCTTACTCTGTGTGACAGATTTATCAATTTCTTTGTAGCAATTTGAAAATGTAATGTACATAATAAACAAAGTGGATAGCTGCAAAGTGGCTAATAAGATGGGCAAAGGAGAGGTAGAATAAAAATCTAGATCTTTTAAATAAACTGGTTATATTTTTAAGCCATCTACTTTCTGTTTTCACCTTTTGTTATGCACTTCATGAAGAACTCTGCACATACTATTTACTTTCAAATGACCCAGACAGATAGCACTTTTGATTTCGTCAGTGAGAAGAGAGCAAAGGCTATGATGAATGCTGTTAGTCAATTCATCAATTAACATTGGGGCAATAGTATACTTGCATGAATGTCACACATCATGACCACAGACTAGTGTACAAATATACTGGCAGGACCTCTGCCACAAGTAACTTTCAGGCCAGAACACTCACATGTGCAAAACCCACCCCAAGTTTTATGTATCACATAAACACTCCAAGCATTACTTTTCTGAGTTCTGAGCAGCATATACTGTTACACATACATGGGGGTTAATCTTTTCTAGTCTTTTTCACTTGCAGCACCAAAATGTTCAATGTGGCTGATCTTAACAGGGATAGGCTTTGCTTAGGCTCACTCCACTTATATTGTGAAATGCAGGCACAGAGGTTAACACTTGAAAGCATAACGGTGACATATCTTCCACTAAGGTGACAAGGCCTAAGAAGTGCCAGCAGTTAGTACAAGACTGGAAAGATTGTATTTCAAATCACCTCCAACATGCAGCACCATGAACTACAATGCTGGCAGCAATTTAAGGACATGCTAAACCTTCCATTTCAGGAATCAGCACTCAATGCATTACCAGTTTGAAACCATCCTGTTCTAGGAAATTGTGAAAAACTGTGGATGCCTTAAAGCCCTTGTATATTTTGTAGGAATGTTGACACCCAATTGATTGTCTGAGATCCAGACTTTTAATACATGAGACATTTTTAACTCATTCATGTTGGAACTTGAACTGATGACAATGAAGAAGAATCTTCTGAGAAAAGGACTTATGGCACACAGGGCACTGATAAGGCTTGACATGCCCAACTGTGTGCCGTGCTGCATTATCCTTGCGAGAAGTCTTGTATGGGCAGAGGCCACAAAAGAATGTCCTCATATTGGATGAGGAACTGGATCCACACCATAAAAAGTCCTGAATGTGTTGAACGGTCTAGAAAAAGGGGATGAAAATGACTTAATTAAGTTGCAGTCCATTGGAAAAGTGAATACCTCCTTTATATTACAACATACAGGGTGGCCCAAAAAAAGGGCACCTTTTCAATGTGCATTTTTGGTATGATGCTTTCAATGATATTTTTTCCAGTTTGATGCAATGGAACGAAGAAAGACATAGGTAAAAAATGCAATTTCCAGATATGAAATATCTTTAATGGTGACTTATAAAAAAATTAATTGAATTTAGATTATGAAAAATTGCCGTTGCACTCACCAACTGCATACAGCGGCTAACACATCCAATCATCCTCATGAAATTTGCTGAGGTCACTATTTCCTTTCCCCTTCCCATGAGTGCCGGGCCTTGAAGGTGATGTTGGGTCAAGTTGCCGAGTGCAACGCCGATTTTCATGACTGAAATTTGATCATTTCTTTCTATGGCACCATTTTTTATATTTTAAAGATGAGAAAAAGCATTTTGTTGCTAAGTCTTTCTTCTTTCCATTGCATCTAACTGGAAAAAAAATCCTTGAAAGCATCACACCTAAAATCAAAATGCACATTGAAAAGTGTGACCCTTATTTTGGGGTCATCCTATATAATGGATTCTACATAACATACGAGGTATACACTGCTTTAAGAATGAATTTATACCACCCTCCCCCATTGGAATGCTTCCATTGATAGCAGGTAGTGACTTTCACATGGGTGGCTTCATGAATCATCTGATGAAGCAGATCCTCTAGAAGTTGTGTTTTCTCTTTTCTCCACTACAGGGGGAAGGAGTTCAATCAGAATGCAGTTTAAGTGGGAGCCATGGACCCTACTGCTAAATGGAAATACCAGTTCGAAGTAACATGGAAACAGTCATGAGACCCCATGAGACCTATGTGAGTCAGCTAACCACTCCAACTTCATTCAGCAATTCCACTATTATAAATGAAACTTCACATGTGAGTCCATGACAACAGTTCAGGATTCAAGTATAGATCTGTACAGGAGACATTTTTGCAGCCTCATCTGACTGCCCAAGGGAATTTTTAGTCAGAACTTGGCCATCACCCACATTAAAGACAAGGGTCAAAGGCTTGGTCCAGTTGGACAAATAACTGCATGTTAATCAGGAGATACTGGAAGAGAAGGAAAGAAAACACAAGATGAGGATTTCTCTTCCCCCCCTGCCTTTATTTACCTCTCCCTGATGAAGTACTTCCAGTATGAGGAATTCCATGACTCCTAATGCAATCTGGCACAATGGGAAGGTTTGGATTGGGTCAGGACTGGGAATTCTGATTGGAACTGGAAAGTTTAGCATAAGGAGTCCAGAATGATTTGAATGCATAAAAGCTTACCTGCCTAGGGTAAGACTTATGTGAACAAAAGGCACAACAATTCTCAAAAAGCAGCAATTGTACCTGAACCTAGCCCATGCATATCTCTACATCTAACATGTTCACCAGTCCTCTATCAGCAAGTTTTTGGCCATTTTCATGATCATCTCAACTACGGTTCTGTTCAGATTATCACCATCAACAGATTAATATGAATGCATTTCATGGTAGTTATGTTTGATGATCAAAATTGTATCACTTGATGCTCCCAGTTTGAAAATGGTATGACAATGAGGTAGTCCCAGGTTAATCAGCGCAACATAGCCATGCAATGTGGACTATTGTATGGCATAATGCCAAGCTAAGTTCTTGAGCATGCAGGAATAATGCATTCTTCATTAAGGTCTGTAGCTAGGACTAAGCCTATGATGAGGCTACCATAGGGCCAATGCCTACTCTAGGCATATATCAAATCCCTAACTTCACCTGCAGTCCTGGGAAGAGTTTTTTTTCTCCACCTCCTCCATATCCAAGCATTACAGTCTAGAAGAGCCATGGCTCCAGACCATTGGTGTTTCTTGTTTCCTCTCCCTCCTCTTTTAACCAATCTTACCCAGTTGCACTAACAGCTTAGGGGGTGCCATCTTGCCCTGGCAAAAACTTCATTTATCCCACAAAAATGCTTTCACTTTCTTATTTGCCATAAAAATTCAAGACTGGCCACAAAAACATGCCAAGAAAGGTATATATTTTAGAAGTGTGAGTCAAAAACTTCCAATACAACCAAGAGTCATGCACCAATTTGATTGCTGACAATATTATATGACATTGGCTTACTCCACAAAAAAAAACACAAGACTTTCTCTGCATCACTGAACCAAATGGTTTGGTTTTGATATGGATAACTAGGGGAACATGATTCCACAATATGAAGAGAGAAACTTTCTTTCTCCTCTAGAGAACTCTCACTTGAAGAAAGCATCCCTAATTAATCATATACATAAGATTTCACATTCATATTAGCCATGCATCAGTAGTTCCAGTTGTTTCTGTCACTACTCCCATAGTATCATGAGTGCAGCTAGCGGAAAATATCATGCACCACACTTTTGATATAGCTTCTGGGACACAATAGGGGAGTAATATAGGTTTTCTAGGGCTGGAAACTGTCTCTCAGAACAAGACAGGAAGAGAATGAGAGGACACAAACTGAGACTAACGATCAGAACAGGCTATGGTAAAGTCACTATATCACATTAGGTATAGTTTTACAACCTTATTAACATGTACCTAACTTTGACTTCACTTCGATATCCCAATGAGACAGACATTGTCATTTGAATTTTTTAAATGACCATTTCAGATGGTTCCCATTGAGTTCCAAGCCATCAAGAGAGCTACATGACGCCATGAAGGAACAAGATACTTTCTGATATGACAGCATCCTACTCTCAAATCACATGATGAAAATCACAACTTTGCATTCTTTAAGATTATTGGGATCAAAGATATTAATAGTCATCCACAATGGTGTGCAAAAAAAGTTTCCAAACTGAATAACAGCAGGATGATGGGAAACCAGTTCAAGTTCAGTGGGGCAGCTCACTAAGTTGTTGTTAAAAGGAAGCCCCATTCTAAAACCCAGCTCTTTTTATGCAAAGGAACAAAGACTCTCTTGGATCTTCCTGTTTCTTTCTCTCTCTCTCCCACACTCCACTTAGTAAGAATAAAAAAAGAAGAGTCTTCCCACTGCCTTTCCAGGAGGGAAACTAAAAAACAGAGTGAACTCATCCATAGGGCTTCTTATTCCTGTGCTAGACTTCTTAGTCTACCAATGGAAATTCACTTTTTTTTAAAGCAATAAGTCCCTGAGGGGCTACTTCCTCAGAAGTTCCAAGAAGGAATAATACTACTTCACTGAAACAATGCAGAACCATGCTCTTGCTACCAAGGTTCAAGTTTTTTTGAGCCTAGTACCAGTATTATGCACCCATTTGCCATACCACAGTCCACAAAACACCCAATGAATGAATAGGAATACTGACCTGTGGGTCGACATCAGAAGGAATGTTCATTGGTGCATCAGGCTCACCTTCTATCCCCTCAGCAACATATGAGGAGTTTTCATTCCATTCTTCCTCTCCCTGTATAAGAACAATTGCATGGGACTTGCAGAAGTGAAAGTCCCATTTCGGGACATTACTACTGTCAAAATAAAACAGAACCCACAGTAGAAGCTGAATTTGAGTCTATCACATCATGTGCATCACTGGTTTCATCTCCTTCCTCCTTTATCAACACCTCATCTGTTGATGTGCTTGTACTTGCTTCTGGTTCACTTTGGAAAAACTGGGAATGAGAGGGTACCTATAGCACAAAATCACAAATACATACCAAGAATGTTCCAACTTGTAAGACAGGTGCTCATTTACTTAAACGTGACATTGCACCCTACATACAGGTTTTGACTGCTGGAAGCGTGGTCCAATTGACTGCTGCTTGCTTCGTGGCAAAAGAGATTGAGATCTTGCCATTTTTGTAGGTGGAAACTGGGGTTCATCAAACTCTTGCCAAGCTGAAAAAGTACTCTTCCTCTTGTGAGCCAAAGCATCCTGTACATCAGACACAGGGATGGTAGTGGGCCTGCCTCCTGCTCCACTGCTCTTTGACTTATCCCCCTTCAGCCCCTTCACTTCTAAGTTCTCCGCAACTTCAATAAATTTCTCAAGGTCCAAGGCTGGGACTTCCACTTCCCCACAGTACATAAATTCCACAAGGAGCTTCAGCAAATGCATTTCCACTCCATAGAAATGAACAGTTGGAGTTCCCGATCCATCCTTATTGAGGATTCGTTCAAAATAACCACTTCCCGCACATAACACAAGTTTGTGAGCTTTTGCAAGCTGTCCATTGCAGGACAGATTCACATCCACAAACATCTCACGGTGACGGAGACTTTCGAAGCTCTGAAATGTCTCTGCATGGTGAGAGTTCCACTTCAAATTATATTTGTTTGACATGGCTTGTGCCTTCAATATCTCACAGGAATGGAAAAACCTGCATGAAAGAACACATGAGGAATTCCATGATACACCCACTTATCAGGACCAACACCAATGAGAGCTCCTAACTATTCAGATAGCCTAGAGGTTCTGCTCAGAAAAATGAACTTGGCATAGATGTGAGACCTACAGGATTTTTATCTTTAATTTTTCCTACTTTGGGAAATGAGCATTGTCCATGACAGTAGTACAGACATTTAAATATCCCATGGAGTCCATTGAATCAACACTGAAGGTGGTTGAACTTAAGGTGAAACACAACCAGAATATTGCATCTTTATGTTCAGGCATAACATTAGGCCTAACCCATGGAAGTGCAGTGTAATGTAAGAAAGTATGGTTAGAGAAGAAATCCTCTTAATGTCCTAATCAACTAAAGTTGAAGAACTTGTCGTATTAGGCCTTTTGCTGATCTTACCTTGCATAACAAACCTTAATGGACACAGAGTGTTTTAAGAACTTAGTTCTGAAACTCAAACATTCCTGCATATCTTCATAACAAGTCAAAGCTGTCATAAGAGAATGTGAAAAAGGCTGGTTACAGTTCTTTTGCAGTGACAGTCATCTTCAAGGCAAGAAGGCAGGAAGAACAAAAAAAAACAAGGTCATATCTACTGGAAAATGAAGTCAGACTACCTACTATATTATTTTCCTTATAAGTTCAGAAGCATTCCTGAAGAAAAACAGTTCTTGTTAGTTTACTAGAAGCCAAGTTTATCACAGGCTAGAAAGGTGTATCAGCTTATGGGTAAATTTCCCCAAATTCATTGCATTTGGGGGGAGTGATGCTGTTCTACTATCACTGGGAACTTTAAAGTGAGTAGCAGAGCCTTAAAGTCAAAGGAACTTTGAAAACTTTATGAGACATTCCTACAGTGCAGCCATGAAGGCATGTATCAAAAAAGATGGGTTACATTCCCATGTTCTTCAGTTTAGATGAAGGGCTACCATCCTCACCTTACCTGATACCTGCATTCAGGAGGCCCAAATCGACGCAAAGCCACACTAGAGATGCTATTTTGATCCACACTCAGAGCGTAATTATGCCCCTAGACTTAGGCCTAACAGGGCCCTTGGTCTTGCATTAGGTCTAAAGCTTCGGCCAAAAATAGCGGTTACTGGTGTCGCACGTGAGGCCGATGGGGGAGGGGAAGTTAGGGTCGTAAGAGCTGTCTGGACTGGAGTCGAGGCTGAATCATTGAGTCTCTCGTGCTTGGAATCGTACGATATCGTAAGAAACATTACGTCGCTGGTGGCCTCCTACATACCTTCCCTCCTCCTGTTTAGGCTGGACCCACTATAGGATCAGGCGTTATAAACTCATGCATCCACGTGGTGTGCTACTCCGTATGATCTGCGATGAGAAGTAGCGTGGACGGGCCCCCAAATTTCACATCCCACACTGTCCTAGTATGAAAGGAGCGAGGATTCCTCCTCGTGCACACGCTGGTTTAAGGTTTTGGCAAAAGTAATCTTCCACCCCGCCTTTTGATTCCTCTATATTCGCCTAGATCTCTCGCATCTCGTGCGCCACTTAGAGACTAAATTAAATTTCCTCTTCTCCGGAGTCGTGCTCACGAAAAGCCAAAGAACTTCCCGGCGTAAGCGCTCCTCGGTGAAAGCGAACGGAGTCCTTATAAATTGAAAACCAGCCAATTGTGTCGGTCGTAAACTCTCAGCAAAGGCCCTCCTTTGCTCCGGGATTAGAAAGCGAAATGGGACGGTGAAAGACAGCTCGGTCGTCCGGCAGATTCCTCGCCGTTGCCGGCTTTATCGACGCGTTACGTAGGTAAGGAAAGAAGTGACGGGAGACGCGAAGAGGAGTCCCTTTCATCGTGTTGTCATGTATGACGCGATGAATCCTCTGAAATAGGTCGATTCTGGGCGAGGAAGGCTTACGCTGTTTCCAGATTGAGTTCGTGCCCCCACATTAGGTGCGCTTCCATCGATTGCAGGTAGTGACATCTTGCATACGAGGGTTGTTACGTCTATCACCTCGAGCGGAACCTCTTGAAATTTGTTTTTTTTTTCTCCATTCTCCATAGGCGGGTGGCACGAATTCGACCCGGAAACAGTGTACAACGGGAGCCCGCTTGTTCACAAAAAGGAAAGATTTTGGTAGGCGGTGCGTAACGAGGCTCATCGAATGGAAGGTATGAACTTCGTCGTTCGCTGCTCGATGGAAAACAGACGCGGAAAATAAGCGACGAGGGGTTTCCTCACCGGGGAATCCGGTTCTCACGAGAGAAACTGTCGCGGCCTCGAGTCCGATACCATTCCGCCGATAGCAATCCCCGATGAGGACCGATAGATTCCTTGGGAATCGTCTGGTCGTTTTTTTTTTTTCACTCGAGACATCGCCTCGATCGTCGCCTGGAAACATGAAGCTTTCACGAATGAGGCTTTCATCCGTCTCACGGGATGGAGCGTTCTTCCTCGCATCGCCTCTCCTTGTCACTATCCAAACCCAGTGGCGGCTCCTCATATTTAGTGCGAGTGGTTAGACTATGGAGGGGGGTAGGCAGTGCCCACCCTTGATGCCCTCCCCTGCCTGCCCTCTCTCCATAGACGAACCGCTAGCGCTAAATATCACGAGCCGCCACCGTCCGTAACCTAGGATGGCGAATCCCGATCTCGTTCCGACGGGTGCAAACGCACGCGCGGGACCCAACGCGAGATCTTCCGACGTCTGTCGGAAACGCAAGGGAAACGAACGATTCGTGCATCGACCGATTTGTTTCCACGCGACCGATCCCGAGTCGGGAAAGGGGAGAAAGCCAGAGGCGACGGGAGAGAACGTCGACCGTCACCCAGCCTTCCTCCGGCACCGATCGACGTCATCTGACCGGTCTGCTCCTCGCCTCGCCTCGCCGGTGTCGTATGATATCCCCCCCCCCCCCCCCCCCCCCCCCCCCCCCCCCCTCATTACCAATACCGAGGATCGGTGCGAAGCCATCTTGAAAAGAAACCGTTGAACTCCTCTTAAAGTAAAAGCGTGCCATTTCTCTGAATGCTCTGGCGCGTCCTTCGGCGGCTATTTCTTCCGTGCCTTTTAGTGTTCCTTTTGCGCCTCCATCTGCTTCGCTGACGTCTAAGCCAGTCTCGACTCCTCGGGGTGATCTTGAAAGCCACATCAAAGATTCCAGACAACGGAGGTAAAAGGCAAATGAAGGCAGCTGACACGAAGGCAGGGAGTAAGAAACCTCGTCCTCTGCAGGAGGATGTTCTGCTATGATTTCGTTTGGCCAGTTTCTGACAGTAAAGATTATGTTCTCTTTTGGCAATCGACAAACTTACAATTCTACTTTTTAAAACGAACTCCCTTCATTTCCATTAAGGGAGGTGGGGGAAAAATATCATACGCCACCGGCCGCGCCAGAGCATTCAGAGAAATGGCACGCTTTTACTTTAAGAGGAGTTCAACGGTTTCTTTTCAAGATGGCTTCGCACCGATCCTCGGTATTGGTAATGGGTAAAGTGATGAGAAATATTCGTGGAGTTTCACGAGTTCCTCGATCTAACAGTAATGATTTTTATACTTGGACAGACTTCCCAGCAAACAAGGCTACGTTTACGAGCTACGAGGAATGCTGTCGTTCGGACCGGTTAACGTCACACTCTTCCCCTCCCGATCGCAGCGCTTTCGACCGCGAAACACCAGCTCATCTTATATCAGGCTTCAGCATAGGCGGCGATTTGTTGAGAAATTTGGGGGGACTCAGAGACAAATTTGTGGGGGCTCAGTGGCAGTACTCCTAGTATTCCTTATTCTTCTGCCAAATTTTTTGGGGGGCTCGAGCCCCCTGAGCCCCTATGAATCGCCGCCTATGGGCTTCAGGACCATCGAGAATATTCCCCTCCATGTTACTCTCGTCAGCCTCAGACGGTTTTCCTGGCTCGCTCCCGAGTTCCCCTACTTCGGACCGCAATCCCCACGTGGAATCATCGGACGTCGGTCGGATCGTCTCTCGCCCGCTTCACGTCACGCTCGTCTGCCTGCATACCAACCGCCTCAATCGGCAGTGTGGCGCAACTCCCAAGTCTAAAGGCCAGTGGCGTCGCGGGGGGGGGGGGCGGGGGGTAGCTTCAGCCCCCACCAACTCCGGTCTAAATGAATCCCCCCCCTCCTCCCCGGTGAAGAGATGAAAGATAGGCGAAATTCTGGCTACGCCTACTGCTAAAGGGCCGTTTGCGTTAGACTCCTTCGTCGAAGGTTCGGCGCAGGCCAGTCCGAGCACATGCATAGAAAAGAATGGAAGGAACCCTAAGCCGCAGCTGCAGCGTATCGACGCAAGGAGTTCGAACGAGTCAAACTTATCTTACAGATAACCAATGAGTCGAAGACGAACTCACGGAAATCCAACAGTAATGCCGGTTGATGTTGCAGCCAACACGAGTTCTGAAGTGAGATCATTCCTGAAACAGCCTAGCCTATATGATTGACTCCAGGTTAATGTACGTCACTAGGGTTTCTTCCCTTCCAATAAAACGCAGTAATGCTCCAGGATGACGGCTCAAAAGGGGGGGGAAGTAATTAAGTACTCGTAAGCCAGTCTGGGATGCTTGAGTAGTTCATGGCGGGGAGGAAATAGACATTCATTGGACAGGGTTGTCAAACAATCAGATCTTGACATTTCCACACAAATTAATTCTGACGCATAGGAAAGCCTCTTTTCCATCTTTGGACGTCTATAATACAATATTCCATTGATTCAAACGAATTTCATTAGATTCTTAGAGGATTCTGCTTCACCGAAACACAAGGTAGTAAGTTGTTTTTATTGAGGTTCAATGCAACCTGAAAACATAGGCATCCATATCCCAAAGGTAAAACTTGGAGAAGAAGTTATGAAAGCAAAAAATCAAGATCTCTCAGACATTCAAAGCCAAATGGCACCGCTTGTGCTCATCAACTGCACGGCAACTGACAAAATATCGACGAGAATATTTTTATCGGCAAGAGGAAACCGTGCCCGTGCACGGTATGGTTCAAGTGACTCTCACTTCAGCAACAGCTCCTGAAGGTTGTTGGGATGCTGGACAGCACAGTGAGATCTCAGGTGACTCTTTTGGGTATAGGATTTGAAGCAGATGGGACACTGGAAAGGCCTCTCTTTGCTGTGCTTGCGACTGTGATACTCCGCGTGGCCTTTGTTTGGGGTCAAGTACGGGCAGACCGGACAGAAGTACACCTTGGTCCCAAGGTTTTGGATCTTCCCACACCACACGTAGCTTTTAACATAGAACACCGTCTGCAATATAAAATAGAAATATTGTTGTATCAAAAATGCTGATAGTATAAAACAATCATTTCAGCATGGCAGATGTTCCCTTCAAAACATGATATGGCAGCTGAAACAATTTAAAAACATTTTTAATCATAAATTATTCACAAATTATATGGTAGAATCCAGTTTTCCATACATCTGGCAACCTATATGGTATCTAATAGAGACAGCTGCTACTGTGGCAACCAAGAAGCTCCAGAATTTTTTTGCAAACACAAACTGGAAGAGTGATCAGGAAAATATTTGAAACTTGAAGGATTGGGTGCAATATTATTACATACCACAAGTCCTTTGAACATAAAGAAATGGATGATTGATTTCATATGCAGGATAGACATAAAGTTAGTCACAGAAAGGAACAGTACTGGAGGCTTAAATATAAAAAGCTACTAAATTGAAACTTTGCAGGGTGTTTATAGAAAAGCTTTTTTTTTTCAGTCACTTGCTCATTTTGAACAGAACCAACATGGAGTCACTGCAAAAAAATTAATTTTCTTCAGTTCTTCACTGGTTTTGGCCCAGTTTCTCTCAGAAACTCCACTGATTCTCATCTCTTTTTTTCCATATACATGTGAGTGATGGTTGAAAAAATTGAATTAATTGGTTGAAAGTAATAAAATTCTGCATAAGAGTCTAGGGGTAATTAAAACTGTTTCACGGGTAGGGGTGCATGAGTGCTGCTTTCAAGAGCAAATTACCACTGCACAGTAAAAACAAGTTTTAAAATCAAACAAAAACACCTCCAGCAATAGAAAACATATATCTGGTAACTGGTTACTTCATCTGCAGCTTCTCATCACTGCTTGCCAAACAATACAGTGGATTTCAAGAGGGACTCTTCAAGGGATTTAATGCAGATGTGATCACAGAACTGCTTTTCTTTTTGTGCTTAAGACTGGGAGACTGAAGGGTTTTTCCAACCAAACATCAACATGGTACTAAAATATGCTTCCTCTACTTGGATTCTACTGCATCATGTGTAGCTTGACCAGCTACCTCTTTGCAAGCAGTGAAGAAGAAGGAATGATAGAACTTATTTGAAAATGGTCAGGCAAAAAAAGAAAAATAAATCCAGCAGTAGCAGATATTCTTAATGAATCAAGAGAAAAGGGAGTTAAAACAGCATTGCTGAAAAAATACAGATGTGTCTGGTAGGTAGTCCTTCAGGCAAAGAGGTAGCCCAGTGCTATCTTAACTTGGAAATTTTGCCACTTCTTTTATGTAGGTAATTTTAATAGAAATCCAGCTGATCTTGTATCTAGATTTCTGGGATCTCCTTTCATGTTGTGCAACTCAAGAAGACATTTAAAGGGGGTGCAGGAATACCAGCAGATGGAATCCAATACCCTTCCATATAAGTAATAGAACAGGAGTTGCCTGTCTATCACCTATAGCTGAGTGAATGACATTCAATTAGCATGTGGGGTTAGAACCAGATACCACTAAGAACAATCTTTCTCAAGCTGTAGCTCTCTTTCCACCTTTTCTGACTCCTTGGACACAATTATACATCTCTGTGCTTCTTGCAAGAATGATAAAACCCTGCCTAATCTGAAATAGGCTTGTCATCTTCAGAGGGTTAAAACAGAAATGAATGTCTTGATCAGACAGAAGCTATCAATACCAGAGACAGACAGATACTGGAACTTACAAGAGTGAAATAGACAAAAATACTGAGATTAAGTGAGCTCAAGATAATAATATTTCTTCTTTTCATGATATATATATGACTAAGTGAGGCAATGAATGTTCACAAATAAAGCCAAACAAGTAACACATACAGAGGGAGTATTATGGTACTTTCTCACTTGAGTCACACTTATTTTAAACTTGACTCTGGCATTCGTGTGAGGGTAAATGTTTTATGCAAGGGTGCCAGAGTCGTGAAGGAACATCTGACTCAAAGTGAAAAGCACTGAATAAGTCCACCAGCAGAAACAAGCCTTGATGATTGTTGGGATATTCTGCTACTATTGTACCATATGGATTATAATCAGGAGAAAATGGTAAGGGTACAAGTGATGATGGGAGGTATGAATAGTTGGCACTAAAAACAATGTTGGTTGTACTGTTTGCTCATCTTCAAAAGCAGCTCTGTTGCTTTCCATGAACAAATATTTTAAATATATGTTTGCATACCATAAAAATTATGAAATAGCAAAGGATTCATTAGAAGCTTCAATATTTGCAGGTGAGCTCTGAGGTTTTTCCAGCAGCAATCTCAGGTTAAGATGCATCCATTTTTTTATTGGATGGGCTTTAAACCCACTCCAGTCATATGTTGAGTACATCCCAACAAATCAGATGGAGCAGGGGAGTTAAAACTCAAATTGGTCAGCAGGCCACATTCCTTATCCTAGATATCTCCACTGTCTAGATCTGGCCCACAGGCTGTGTTTGACACTCAAAATAGAGGATCAAAGAATTTTGGCTGCAAAGGGTTGAAGCAGCTTGAGATATTACAAACCTGCTACTTCATGCAAGCTCCTTTCTCATTTCAATGCTTTCCATTATACAGATTCTTGGTAGCTCGAGACTGTGCACATTCAAAGAAGTGATGCAAATGCATATGAGACTGTGGGTGCAGTACAAGTGATCTACTACAAAGGTGACTATTACAGAAAACTGCTGTCAGCTTCTCAACTTTCAACTAGCTTTTCAACAATAAATTTCTCCACTACTGAGGAGTCAAAAGTGCAAAGAAGAGTTGATCAATTTATTCACTTCTTTGGGAGCACACGTAAAGGACACAAGGTGATAGAAGATGCCAAAACAACACACTGTATTTGCTGTGTTTGAACTGACTTGAAGAAAAGTAGCATCAAGGTCAAAACAGAGACAACAGCTCATGAAACCCATTCCAAGTCATGTTGACATAATGGACAGCATGGGTAAACTAGCTTCGTCACTGCAACTGCAATGGTTCCAGACAACCACCATGCTGAGAAACACAGTGAATTTTCATATTGCCCTTTCGGGAAAAAGGCTTGAAGCAAGTGGGGCAATGGAAGGGCTTCTCTTTGCTGTGTTTGTAACTATGCCTTTCCGCATGACTTTTCCAAGCTGACGAATAAGGACAGACGGGGCAGAAGTACATCTTAGATTCTGTCATGTGCACCTTCCCACACCAGATGAAGCTCTGCACATAAGTCACAGTCTGAAAATGAAAATTAAAGGAAGATTTACATGACTTCCATGTATCAATGAATAAGGGTTACAAAGAAACTGGTGAATTTGGAGTTTGCATGAGAGTAGATAATGTTTCAGTAAAGGCTTCTTTATTATTACAGACTTTCTAGAGATACTTTCTTTTCAACCTTGAGTAAAATTCCATGAAACTTCATACATCCTCAATTGGGGAGTCATATCTCCATTTCCTATGTACCATTTCATTTCTCATCCATGATATAGTACCAGATATATCAGACTTGTCTCTGCTAAAAAAATCTGCTGGTAACAAGTTGACAGTTGTACAGAGAAGTATGAGCTCAATGAAGTCTGGGTGTTACAGAGATCCATAATTCTGGGAGTAAAGGTTCTTGATTCCACAATAGAGGAGGTAGACAGACATGGAAGTGATAACAGATTTGCTAGGATTTTCCCATTTCTGATTTCAGCTCCTGCATCCATTGGTCAAATACATATCAGGATTGAACAGAATATGGATATGATGGGGGTTCTATATGCTGACAATTGATCCTGAAGGAAATGTGTTAAGTGTCCAGCATCAACCAAGACCAGAGCACAATAATGACCTCAAGTGTCCAGAGCAACTGAATGCATGTTCAAACTGTATTTTTGCATTCTAGCTGTCTGTTTATGCCTGATGAGTTTCTCCTTGAGGGAATCTCAAGGAATTAAATCCCATGGATAAAGATCCAAGAAATTCACAGTAAAAGGAAAGGCATATAGTTAGCCAATCACATGATCCCCAAAGGCAATCTCCAGGAATGACTCATCTGCCCACACAAGGAGAACAAGGGTGAGAGCTACATATTCCACCCCTCAGAGGTAAATGTTTACTTTTTAAGTGGTGAGTGCCTCAGACATACAGCACTCCACTCCCTTCCAAGATTTCCAGACTCTTTCTTTGAAAAAAGTTCTGCACTTTTCATTCCATTGATTTGATGGCACTGCTTATAAACTGAGCATTAACTTCCAAAGGGCCGAATTAACTAACAGCCAGTAAAGATGATTGCAATGGAAAGAGAACTGGCTGGTAACATTTTCTACTGTAGTCATGTTTCCCAGAAACATCAGTCAACTCAGGACAGGTACATACATCCACATGTCATGTACAACATGAAATTCATTTAGATGAAATTAATGCAAGTTCATTGCTTAGTGGAAAAGAAATTATCAAGACCTAGAACTGCATTTGTAATAGAAGGAAACCACTCCCATCACGATTAACATAGAGCTAGGAGCTATCATTTCTAGTCAGGCAGGTCTAATGAAAACTGACAGTAAAAGTCAAAGAGGAATTTATTACTTCCCAAAGATGAATAAATATGCAAATTTTATGCATACAGGAATCCTAAGGAAACAAAACTCAAGAAGATCCCAGGCATTTTAAGTATTTTTTGCTTTTCTGTCCGAATGGACACAAAAAGCAAACACCAAGAAAACAATCTCATGAGCAACAGGAAATGATTCAGCTCCAAGGCATAGTTGAAATGACTTATTCACTTCTTCTGCAACTTATTAACATCACTAGTATGCTGGATAGCACAGTGAGACTTCAGGTGACACCTTTGAGAAAAGGTCTTGAAGCAGATCAGACAATGGAAAGGCCTTTCTTTGCTGTGCTTGCGACTATGACTCTCTGCATGGCTTTTCCTGGCAGTCACGTATGGACAGGCGGGACAGAAATAAAACTTGTTCCCTGTCATTTGGCTCTTCCCACACCAGACAAAGCTCTGAACATAGGACACTGTCTGGAAACAATATGGAAACAAGGAAGAGGAGAGTTAAGTTGACTGCTGAGTGGATGCTTATCAAGTTACATAATTAAGGTAGAATGCAAAACATACTTTATGACATGATAAAAACCAGTATATGAAAGTGAAGTTGATGATAAAAATCAGGATTGAATGAATTGTCACTTCATCTGCACTGCCATGAATTGCTAAAATGCAGGACAGCACAGTTTCCTGGAGGTAAAAAATTCCTCAGAGGAGATACGATGCCAGGAAAGGCTTTTTCTTTGCCATGCATACAGGAAAATAAATATTAAAAGCAGAATACCTTCAAAGCATCAATTTTTGCTTAAAACATAGCAGTACCAGAAAAAAACATAGAAATGAAATTAATGGTGCATTAAAGTTGACCTGATATTAAAATGCATATCATGGGAATCACTGCCATGTTGGACAGCATGAGTTCTTACTCTGAATCTTCTGAAGATGGATCATCAAAATGGATTTTTTGCTTTATTTTCAACTGTAGTATCCTGGAATGGCAGTTTTTTTGCAGACAGGTATGACCAGATGAGACTGACATACAATTCTGTCCCACTTACAATTTACTGCAATATATATTGTTTTAAACATCAGACACTTCCTGAAAACAGTATGGACAAAGGTAAGATTCATATGGCTGTAAAATGAGAGCTTACCATGAAACAACAGGCTATTATTTTTTAGTAATTTTCATTGAAGGAGACTAAGCAAGAAGTCCAGATAATATGTAATTTTTATATCTAAGACAGAAACAAGTATGTATTGTTTTGATAAAGAAACACATTAGAAGTCATTGAATTTCTTTTGGTTCCTTGTATGGATGAGGGCTATCCAGTAATAAGTGTTTATGAAACTACAGGGTGGGTGGAAAAAAAACTTCAGTTATCTTCATCACTCCCCAGCACTGGTCCCCAAGAGTTTGCTAAAATTGCAATAAGGCCTCTGTATAGAACAATCATTCAGCTTTCCAATGATGTCAACAGAATAGAGATTCATGGCAACACTTTCATGAAGTTAGACAATGAACATAAGAGGTGGTGCTGGAAAAGTTGGTGCCATGTTGTGGTGGAAGCTAGTGAATGCCAGACCTCCCCTACTCACCATAAGTGAAAGAATGGACATCATCTGGGCCACATTTTGTAGGGTACTGTAAAGAGCACTTTTTAAATGCTACCTCTGTTACACTGTGTGTGACTGCATTGCAATGATGGATTGGATCTTAAATCATTTGACATCGGTGGAAAACTAGGTAAATGTTCTAAATAGAGATGCAATATTGCAATATTTTCAAACTCTTGAGAAACTGTGCTTTGAAGCGCTAAATATAACTGAAGATTCTTTTGGCCCACCCTGAACAAAAAAAGCATGGATGTCAAAACTGAAAAACTGATACAAACTCAGGCTTTACAGATGCTAACCAATCAAATACGACTCAGCTGCAACACTTTCTTCCTGATTATTTGATAGGTGCCACATCCTACACCCCACTTCAACTTTAAGCATTGCTTAACTATTGTGCCTATCTGATCTGAATGAAATGTGAACTACAAATGTTCTTTGAAGTGACTGAACCAAAAAAGTCAGAAGGGAATGGATCAAGTGAGTAGAGTGAATGAAGTACTTCCCAGCTTTAAGAGTGCAGCTTCTGAACCACTTTGCATTTGTAGTGCAGCCCTGCATAGTCATGGAACAAATGTGGGCATTCTTGGTGAAACTCAGGCAACTTCTTTCAAATTGCTATTTGAGCAAAGTTGTTCAGGGCTTTTAAATAATAACAACCATTAACCTTCTGGCCATTGGAAATGGCATGCATGGTCAAAGATAATTTCATATATGTTAAAATAAGAGATGTACACTGCCTTCACTTTTCAATAACTTTATGAGGTCTTAGGGAATCTGGTGATCTCCACTCAGTGCTCTGGTGTTCTGGTTCAAATGAATGGACCCACATTTTCTCAGCAGCAATTGCTGCTTCTTACTTCTGTTCATTGTCAAGCTGGTCAGCTGATTTCAAATATGTGGAAGAAATATCTGACAATAACTACATCAGAAGGATCCCCACTAGTACATAGTGATAGTTTGGACATAACTCCCAACTTAAGTTGATGACTTGCTCACTCCAAGCTCCCAGCATGCACCATCCATGATGCCAAAGGATGGGTGTTAAAAGAGTCCATTGGCTCTGAAATATTGATGTAATGAATAGGATTTTGGCTGGATAAAGATAAAACTTCCAGAACATCTATCAGTGCATATCCACTTGGAACTAGCTATTCCTCCAAGCTTGTGAATCAGTCTTCTAATGATAGGCCAATATTTCTTTCATCCCTTACCAGGAAACTCTGGGCAAATTCTTGCCCCACCCATCCTTTTGAAGAACAACATTTTCATTAGCAGACAAAGTAGCTCTGACCCAAGATTGATGCACTCAAAGCCTACCAACTACTCTCCTTTCAATATGTTTCCTTGCGCTAAAATATAATTATAGCTGTCTTCAAGTTGTTGTTCCTGTGCTAAAACGGTGGGGGAAAAATGAACTAGAATTGTAGGACATTTGAAAGACAAGTAGAAGTCATGGCAAAAAAAACTACGACCTGCAATCTGTCCTAGGACAGACTCCAAACTCCATGAATTCCAAAGAATTCATGGAGGACTTTGGATGAACTCCAAAGAATTTCAAAAAAGGGTTTTTTGGCCTTACCTGGTACTGTTAAAATGACTATTTTCCTAATTTGCTCTACTCTTCATTGAGGGCACCACAAGTATTTTCAGGATAACTTCATTTGGGAAATGGGCACTTGCTTGGAGAAAAAAAACAACAAACTTAAGAGTGTTAAAGACGTGAAGACTAAGCTCATCTCTCCATTGTGTGTACTTTGTGAATTACAGTCTTGCTGGATTCCCAATTTCACACAAAAAATATAGCTGCAACAATATTTTATAGAAATGGAGTAATTGTAGATTTAGGGATAACCATTGACATTGGATATCAGGTGATCATCAGTTGTGGGATATAGGCTTCCACTTGATATCTGTCATTTAAGTATACCTAAGTTAGTATACTAACTTTGACTTTTTCCATATGAAATGAAGAGCTAATAAGAGCATCAGGATGAAAAGATTCAATAAAGACACATGGAAGAACATGTAAGGCAAACATAAGGATACACAGTAGGCTGGGATATATTTGCAAAAGTGCTTTCAGTTGTTGAGGCTTTAGAATTATCAGGGAAAAAAATAGGAAAATTTTCCATTCAAATCTCAGGAAATTGGAAAACCCCAACATGGTAGCAGTTTTAACAGAAACCCATCAACCATTCATTTTGGACCAAACTAAACTGATGTCCAGAAAATGATGGATACTGACCTGTGGATCAACTTCTGGAGGAATATTCATTGGTGTTTCAGGTTCACCTTCCATTCCCTCTGCAGCATTTGAGGAATTTTCATCCCATTCTCCCTCTTCCTTCAAGGAAAAAAACTGCATTGAGGCCACAGGTAGAAAGAAAAATACAAATACCATTGCAATGGAAAAAGAAAGGAATAAATGACAATCAAAACCTAGGACCTACAGTAACTCCTGAAGTAGACTTCATCACATCATGAACATCACTCATTCCATCTTCTTCCACCTCCTCCTTTATCAGGACATCCCCTGTCAATGTTCCTGGACTGGGTTCAGGTTGCCTCTGATTGACTTGAGAAGGGGAGGGTACCTGCAACAAGTGAACAGAAAAATATACGTAAGTATATTACGAACAACTGGATACGAAATACGAACAACCAGAGCAGGCATTATTTGCCAGATCATTAGAATGATACCACAACAGACTTACAGGCTTTTGCTGCTGTAAGTGTGGTGCAATAGATTGCTGTCTGTCTTGTGAAATAAGAGCTTGAGATCTGAGCACTTTTGCAGGTGGAAACTGGGGTTCATTGACTTCTTGCCAAGCTGGGGCAGTAATCTTCCTCTTGTGAGCCAAAGCATCCTGTACATCAGACACAGGGATGGTAGTGGGCCTGCCTCCTGCTCCACTGCTCTTTGACTTATCTCCCTTCAGCCCCTTCACTTCTAAGTTCTCTGCAACTTCAATAAATTTCTCAAGGTCCATGGCCGGGACTTCCACTTCCCCGNCAGTACATGAATTCCACAAGGAGCTTCAGCAAATGCATTTCCACTCCATAGAAATGAACGGTCGGAGTTCCCGATCCATTCTTGTTGAGGACCCGTTCAAAATAACCACTCCCCGCACATAACACAAGTCTGTGAGCTTTCACAAACTGTCCATCACAGGACAGAATCACATCCACAAGCATCTCCCTATGGCGAAGATTTTCAAAGCTCTGAAATGCTTCTGCATGGTGAGAGTTCCACTTCAAATTATACTTGTTTGCCATGATTTTTGCCTTCAAAGTTCCCAAGGAGACAAGTTGATCTGCATGAAAATAGCACAAGAGAGATTCCATGAAAGTCCTAACAAGAACCACATGTTTAAAAACGTAAGGATGTACCTCTACTGACAAGCACCAGAACTCAATAGGCAATTTATTGAGAATTCATCTGAAATACCTATGACAGCCATGTATTTGAACACCCTCCCAGTTTATTAGTTCAAAAAATGATTGCTATTAGATCATGCCTTCTTATTCACTATTATAATGCAACAGTTACTTCAAAATCTTTACAATGAATCAACTGGCATCCCCTCCTCTTTTATGTGATGCAGTGTTCTACGTTTCTATGGGCATAGAAACTGTCAGATTTTTTGTTTCTTCCTTCTACCTTGATATAGGCAAGATCCAAGAGAAACTGCCTCTTTTTTTTTTCTTCAGAATGTCACTTTTCCACGTATGCTATTCTACAGTTAATGAACATTTTCAAAGCCTTCAGTTTTAATCAAAAGGCTCCAGTGTACAGAATATTTCTGTTATCAAACAGCTCTTTTAATTTGGAATTTATTGTCCTAATCTTGTCAGTCAACTCCCATCCATTGCAGAACTAATCTCCGACCCATTCTCAGCTTAACCTAAAATCACAAACCTTTCTTAAACATTCTGAATACCCCTTCTCTGAAAAGAAACATTTCCCAAGGTATTCAATTCATCTCCACATTACCCTGGAGAATGTGTTGATTGTAACAGCATCAGGTGTGAAAGAAAATGTTTCATTGATTTAATGTCATTTGTTTAGATAAAGCTTTTACTTTATGATCATATCTTCCATCTCTATTTTATTATGAAGCTTAAATCATGAATAACCAGTACCTCATTTTCGGTACACATACAAAATAAATCATGGCACATATTGGAACACCCTATAACAAACACAATGCAAAACAGGCTAACTCAGATCCCACCTCACTGACTGAACTCGCTTCGCGACAATGCACAAGAGCAACGCAAGAAGGCCACCACGTCGAATACGCCCTGACTGAAAATTCAAACGATGCAGTTGGAATCACGCAGATTGGATCCCATATTGAAAGCAGCAAACGGGATGACAAGGTCGACATCATCACGTTTACGTGTGTTTCGGTTCGTAGCAAAAGCCAAACGGTTAGAATCAGACCTTCCCGATTCATTAAAGAATGTTTACCAGTTACCGCAACTATTTTCAAGGGGAAGTCAGATTACGTCATTACTATTACCCATCTGATATACTATATCCTGGAAGGAAAATTTTCTCATGGCCTGTTTTTCCTTGCCATATCTTCTATTCTGATAACCAATACATACCAACGTGTACCATTACAACACTCGGTACTCTTTTTTGAAAATAAGTCAGATTCATTTTCCTTGGAATTAGCCTGAAAGCGAATCAAAGAAGGTGGCAGGCCTGCCTCGTTAGGCATACCGTGCAACGACCCTAGAATTTTTTCAGAAAAACCTCATTTTCTAAATTTTGAATGGGCATAATCAAATGAAATTCTCCTTCTCGAGGACTTCCTCGGATGCATACCGCTGCAGCTAACATATAGCCATCAGCCTCTCCAACGGGGGAAGAGCCCGCGACTCTGCAACTATTGTTCGATCTCCGCCTCGATCCAGCCACGGAAAGCGTTTGGACGTAAACGACAGAGCACATGCTCCAAGGGCTCACGAGATCACCGGTCATAATAGCAGGTCGAAGAAATGAGAGGCGGCTCGTGAACGAAAAATCCGGGAGGCCAGCGCATGATTTTCCAAATGAAAAAAAAAAACTTATTTGTAATATTAATAGGAGCACGAAGCACAAAATGAGTGTTTAGGTCGGTCTTGGCGCCGGATGAGTCGCGCTTCCTCGAGTGGCAGGTAAAAAAAAAAAAAAAAAAACAAACAAAAGGCCGAACTCGACGTTTCGTGCTGGCAGAGTTGATCGCATCGAAAAGAAAGAAGCGCGGGAATCGACACTCGAAGGAACACTTGCGGGAGAGCGGAGACGCATCCGGTCGGAGGAGAGAACGATCGGTTCCACGATCTTCTCCCCTCGCGAGTTTCACATCTTCCGAAACGAATTCGCGTCTACTTCACCCGCCGAATGACATCATCGCGCGGGAAGCATCGTGCGACTTTCCATCCTTCGCGGTCGCGCGGACGCAAATCGCGGATGCGAATCCGGACGAAGCGCAGCGACCTCCTTGCGGCGGAGGAGCCCCCGTGACGCGGCATCCGCTCGTGCGCGATGCAGAAGGCAAGGCCCCGGGCGAGGCCGGCCTCCCGGATCTCGTACACCGCGTCTGCTCGCGCCACGAGACGTCCCCACGCATCGTCTCGCGGGCCGGGGGAAGACTCGGGGTTCGAACACGAGTGAGGTTTCAAAATGTGCAGCCCGCATCTCGCTCGCTCGGCATCGATCGCGAAGGAATCCAACGGTTCCGAGCGATCGCCCCCTCGGAACTCCCTCGGGAGCCCTCGCCTCCTCTGCCTCCGGAGAGCGTTCGCGAGCGAGCGACACGAAAGCGACGAGAGAAACGAGATCCGAGGCCGTGGAATCCATCCGACTCCGAATCGGATTTCCTCGCGTTCGCGAGACCCATCGACGGAAGAGAGCATCGCGAGCGACCCACGTTCGCGCGGTTTCTCCCATGCCGAACGATCTTCCGAAACCCGTTCGAAAGACCGTAGAAGGAGCCTCGATCGTCGCGACACTTCCCGAGGTCGATTCGAGTTTCCGAAGGAACGAGTTTTCCGTCGCGTTTTCACCGGCAGCCCACGACGACGAGTGGCCGAGACCGACGGGCTGGGTTCGCGAAATCGTGCCAGATTCGCACGAGCAAACCACGCATCGAGGTCGCGACGTTCGCTTTGGGCTCGGAACAGCGGCCGCGACCCGTTCTCGGCCGTCCCCTTCCGCGCGTCCGCGTCGTCGAAACGGCGCGAAGCGAAAACGGAGAACGCGGGAGCGACTTCACGCCGCGATCGGTCGCAGTTTCCACGGTACCGCCGCGATATCGATTCCCTGCGGACGAGCTCGGAACGGGCCCGAGCGACTTCCTCTTTCCGACTCGTCGAAGGCCGTCCGTAGCGCTCTTCGTCCATGGATTTCGGCCTTTCGCGATCCTCATTTTCGCGTGCGAGCGGCACGAAACGAGCGATTTCTCCGAGGACGGGATTCCAAGAGCGACGGTCGGCAACAGGCGGCCCACGGAAGCCCTCTCACCGGCCCACGAAGGCCCGGCCATCGCACATCACCGCCCGACGGTCGACGTTCGCGGAAGTGAAAATTTTCACGACACTCGATGGGTGTCGGCCCGCGAACGTGCAGCATTCCGTCATCCGGATTCCCCTCGGTCACCGCGGACGAACTCGGAAAGGGCCTGCACCGTTTCCTCCCTCTCGACGGTCGTCTCGTCCTCGTTCCTCATCCTCCATGGGTGCGATCGGAAAATTAATTTCACCGGGGGTGGGGTGGCAGAAAACAGAACGAATCGAATCGAATCGCCGACCTCATCCAAAGAGGACGTGGAACGCAGCGGACGACCGTCGACGAGCTGTGGAAAGAAAATTCTGCTAGCCCTTTCCGAGTTCGCCTGCAGCGACCACGGGGAAGGAATCGGCACCGCGAAAACTCCGACCGATCGCGGCGCGACGTCGCTTCCACGGGGCCGCGCGCCGTGCGACTTCGCGCCGTTTCTCGGGACGAAGAGCCTTCTTCCGTCCGGTTTCGAGCTCCTTACGAACGTTGGGAGGAGTATATCACAGGGTGTCCCAAAGTCAAGCGACCTCGAACCTAAAAACGTATCAAAAATGAACGAGAGAAGGAAGTGACGAGGCCAGTCTCGTTTGGAAGCCGTAGTAACGCTTTTTGAATGCACAAAAAATGAAGGACACCAGATAAAAACCACGGTCACAAATAAACGATCGATCCATCCCATACGCCCCTCCGATTCTTTGAAAATCACGTCTGCGACGTTCCAAGAGGCGCCGAAAGTGTCCGTCCGTGCCATCGACACGCCCGTGACCGTAGGACCATTTCCCCCAGGAATGAATTCAGTGGTTATTTGTGACTATAATTTCTATCCCACATCATTGATTTTTTTTATTGCATTCAAAAAGTGTTACTACAGCTTCCAAACAAGACTAGCCTCGCCACTGTACCTTCCTCCATTCGTTTATAATACATTTTTAGGTTCTGGGTCGCATGTTTTTGGGACACCCTGTATTTTTACGGGGATCAAATTGTAAACCTAACTTCTGTACATAGTTTGCTCGTACGAAGTACGCCCGTCCTGGTACCGTTTGATAATCCCACATATGTCAGCATGAGATTTAATCGATTTCCAGCCATACCAGAAGTCTCTGGTAGACCTGCCAGAGGGCAATCATCGGAGTTATGAATTCGTATTGCCTGATGAAGATATGCTTGCTTATTTCCCTGGGTCTCATGTTTCTTTTTCTGTTAAGATTGTGAAGCTTGTAGTGAGCAAGTCGTGCATGCCATTCGGGAATTTCAAATCATGAAGTACTAAGTGATATACTTCTGCATATTCTTGAACAAAATTAAAACTCAAAATACTGGAATTTCAAAGAGGACTCATAAAATACTAGAAGAGTGCACTTTCAAATTGAAATAACTTCAAGTATTTCAAACCAATATATACACTTGCAAGAAGACTCTAAGCTTGTACATAAACTGTTCAATCTACATGACATTAGAAGCTTACATGCAATGTGTAATATATATAGGGAAAATTGTTTCTTCTGTCTCATGCATATTGGAAGATACATAGACAAGATACATACCTTTCGAGCCAAAAATTACAGAAAAATTATTTTATATTCTTGTATTTAGTTTCTGTAGTCAGTTTTATCTTCAAACCCTAGCAATCTCTGTTCCTGATGCTACATATGAACACCAACCAAGTGATCATTGTGGTTTCAGAGTGCAACTACCTTTCCAGTGCCATGCTAAGCATACAATGAAAGGTGGTTACATTGTGAAACCACTCTGACTCAAAGGGTTCAAGTGCCCACACTCAGACACAAGTTGCAAATTTTTCAACAGAGTGTTTCAAAGAGGTGGAAAAAGTTCTATAACCTGGTAACCAGGTTACCAGGAAGTGTAACAACCAACTGGGAAGGCAAGGAGGGGAGAAGCAATATCAGTGGATTTCCCAGGGAAACTGGGAAGGTAAACCATGGTTACTGGGAAGCAGAAGAACTTTTTCCACTTCTGGTATTTCATGATTACAAACACAATTATAAAGAATAATGCTTGATAGCATCTCTACCTGTCCTGGCATAGGATTAGAATAGAAGAAAATGTCATGTATAAGCTAGAAACATCCTAGACTGTCCCTGCAAAAATTTCACAGCTTGCGACTCACTCGCACGATGTTTTCCTGTTCGCTTTCAGACCAGCTCCAAATTGTGCAGCAACAGCAAATTACTATGCAGGTCTTTCTAAAAATTCTGTATGCATTGCATGATGTCTCATACTCCCTCCAGCCGTTTGAAAGAGTACAAATTATTTTTAGGGAAGTGTAAAGCATTCTGCTGAGCCTACAAATATTGCTGGAAAATGCTGTAATAGCAAAACAGAGAAGAATTAGCCAATAAGCTTGTCCATGGTGCTGGATCCTACACCCAGAATAAAATATTTAATGCATAAAGTATCTCTAACAGAACATAAAACTGAAAGTAGGGCAAGTCTCTCTTTGCTTGCAATTCCAGGTAATGTAAGTACAGCTTTTTTTTTCTCAGTATATTCAGTATTTAAGTATTTCAAAAATGAAAATTTTGTCAATTTCTTTTTATGCTCAGCTGAAATCATCACCAAAATGTAAAACATTGGTAACTCCTCTCTACACTTGAGCCCATCACTCAGAATGAGAAAACCCTTGTAGGAACCCGTTCCACTTACTCTAAGCAGTCACTCCAGAATTGCATTTCTGTTACATCAATCATCACTAGGTAAGATGGATTGTTGCTGAAATAAAAATACAGTTCTTTCACTTCTTTTAAATGAACATATTGTTACATTAATTGTTTTCTTGGCATTAGAGATTATGAGCTTTTGTTTTGGATCCCATAAGTACAAATTTGGTGAAACTTCTTGTTACAGCTCTCCAGAACACCAGGTATGGACAGGCCCTTATATATATATATATATATCTATACAAGGTTAAATTGCTTACATTTCCAATACATAACCTGTCTTGCTCCGTCATTGTCATCTAGCAGTAGTAGCAAAAAGTGGCCAGTAGTTCAATTAGGTTGCCCAATCAAATAGAGCTGTTTTTACATCCTATTTACATTACCCTATCACATCACACATCATATCAAGAGTAAATATGATATTGAGCTTACTAAGGTCATAAGAACTCAGTACAGACCAATTCTCAGAGATGGAGTATTGATCAGTTAATTTATCAAGGATCTTCTAGGAAACTGGAACTGGAGTAAATCATAAAATTATCAAGAGAGTGAGCATTTATTTGGTAATCAACATCAAGAGCCAAAAGGAGAATCTTCCCTGAAGAAACTCCATAATGGTCTCTAACTATACAGATAGAATATGACATAATAAAGTGATAACAAAACATCAACTCTTACTAACCCTAACTCCACAAAAACCGGGCCTTCTCATAAAAGTAGACAAAATAAGTTGTTCTCTCAGGAATTCTAAAGAGCTCAAATATAAATTTTTGATTAATCCAGACTACTTCTCTCCATGTCCCCTGGATTATTACCTCATTAACCAAGACTTCCAAGGACAAGAAATGTAATAGGAATGTATACAGGAAAAAATAATTTTCATTATATATCTCCCACAAAAGCCTATCCTTGTCAATGGAAAGAAGTGCTTCTGGCCTCCTTTTGCCATCTTCAAAGGAATCACAGGGGAAACAATCTTGGTCTCCTTCCCTGATTTCCCACTTTTCTTGAGGTCACAGGTGGAAGGGCAAAAGCAATATGGTTGCATGTATTTGACTTGCACTTTCTTCCCTGCAATCAGCTACATTTCAGAATGAAGAATATCACATTTCTCCATGAAATGATGCCCAAAAACAACTCAGGAAATCTTAGATTTGACCCATTGCAAAAAATTAGATGAGCTCACAAGTAAGTGCAAGTAAGTCTATTCATTTCCTCTCTCAAGAAAGAGAAGAAATGATTTGACACTTAGCTAAGTTGTCAATAATAAGGATAGTTATAAAAAAAATCCAAACAAAGCTGTCCAGTTCCTTGTGGTATAGGTTAATAAGAGTTGACCATATCTGATACACTGAATGAGAGAATAACAATGTTACTCTCATGAGAATAATCCTGATATGAAATGCTTCAAATGAAAACTCCATTTAGAGGACTGGCCCACTGCGATCTTGTGTCACGGTATGCTTCAATCCACTTGGTTTGAAATTCACAATGGAGTGAAGGAGAGCTGCCCGGTCCATGGCTAACTCTGGAGTACCTTCCCTGACTGGATCTAGGCAGATCAATTGTAGTGATTGCAAGGATCAATTTGCTTTCAACACAAGGAGAAGAAGAGAGATGAGACACCAGTGGAGATGAGAGGGCGTGGCATGGGAGGGGGTGGTGGCGGGGAGACAGTCCCAGTTGAAGAGCTCTCACTTGCACTCATGCTTACATCCCCTTTCCTCTCACTTAGTTCCCTTTCCTGAAAACACCCCACACATTAATCGTGTCAGCAGGAATGTATTATAATAATAAAAACACACATTGGGCATTTAACACAACCAGTGACTTCAGTATATCCTTATGACAGGATGCACAAAACTTAGGGAAAATCAAGAGATCAAACAGCATTGACCCAGCATGATTTGTAAAAAAAAAAGAATAAAAAAAAAAAAACAGAAAAGGAAATAAGCCTGAGGCTTTAGCAATAGGAAATAGTTATTCTAGTAGCAGACAGGAGAGGGGCTCTGTCATGAACGCAAAGGACCATACCCATGTTTACAAAGATTGCATTTTCTGACCTGACTCCAAGTTTTGTATGCTTTGTAGATTTTGAGAAGGCTTTTGACAGTAAACTAGATGATGTTGGAGATACTGAAGGAAATTGGAGGGACAGGAGATTAATCAGCAAGCTGTACTTAGACCAGGAGGCAGTAGTTATAATAGCAGATGGCGAATCGGAACCATGCGGGCTTGGCAGAGGAGTTAGACAAGGATGCCCTTTATCTCCAATTTTGTTTTCGATTTATGCAGAGAAGATGATGCATGAGGCTATGGAAGGGATTGAG